GTATTTTTATGTCAGTTTTAGTTTGAGTGATTTTAGTACTTCAACTTATATATTTTAATCAGTTGTAAAGGCATCTTTCCATTGTCACTTTAAAAGAAAAAAAGGTTTTCATATATTTTATTTTATTTTATTTCAGCTCTATTTCGATTTCTGAAAGTGATTTTGTAATAGTTTTGCCTTTACTACTGTTTCGCCATTGCATACTGAATGCTTCTTCGCATGCTATTTTTCAAAAATTGTAAATGTTTTAGTATCCTAACAGCTTATTCTATATTTGTGTTTTGTTTAATTTTTTTTTAAATGTTCTTTAGTATGAATGACGCTCTAATGACGTTTATGCTAAAACAGCAGTATGCCCTTTGGGCTCATGACTCATCAATGACGTCACACTTTAATTTGTCTTCGAGTCCAATCGGCAAAATCTCACCAATAAACTGATTACGATCTTAGCAATGACCTTTATAGCAGTGAGTCAGTCTCTGATATGAGCAGATGTGTTCATCTAAAGCTGTTCGCTTTAGAGAGTTTTCAGTAGAAATGATTCAGAGAGTCAATATTCCCTGTCAATATGAACACTTTTATCTGTGTCTGGTTAGTTCACTGTTCTTCCGTCTCTCTCTTGCTCTCTCCCGCTGGTTTAGCGAGCTCTCGTTTGGCCTTTCACGTAATTGGCTTTATGTCCAGATTGGTTGGAGATCTGTGCGAAAGAACATGTGCCACCTGACAGACAAAACCTAGTGCTCTCCACTTTCACTTCGCATAATAACTCTCATATAGAAAAAACAGACAGGCTGTGTGTGTGTGCAGAGAAACTGAACGTTGCTCTAGAGACCCTAATCAAACTTAATGTACAACTTTTAGTTAGTCAGGCTCTTGGCCAAAGTAACTATGACATCATTCCATCCTCTGAACAACAGCGTGATTCATTGTTCTTTTCTCATGTGAGTTAGCAAATTATAATTATGTTAATATAAGTTTTCACTGATTCTGTGAAATGAGCGGTAGAGAAATGTTATTTTTCCATGGAGAGTTCCCAGAAGGAAAGTATTGCTTGAATGTTGCTTCAGTTATGGTTCAAATGAAACAAATATTAGAGATAGAGTAAATTTAAAATTATTGTATTATTGTGTGCATGTGTGCGTGCGTACGTGCATGTGCGTGTGTGTGTGCGTGCATGTGCGTGTGTGTGTGCGTGTGTGTGTTTGGCTTAGGCAAACCCTACATTATGGCAATATCTGAAATCCTTGTCCCCATTTTCTGGTCCCCATGAGGAAAGCAGCTTATAAATCATATAAGTGATGTTTTTTGAAATTGTAAAAATTCAGAAAGTCTACTGTGATGGATTGGTTTTGGGTTAGGAGATGGAATATACAGATTGTACAGTATAAAAGCCATTATGTCTCTGGAAAGTCCCCATAAAACATTGAACCCCAATATGTGTGTGTGTGTGTGTGTGTGTGTGTGTGTGTTTGTTATTTATTTAATTGTTTTTATTTATTTTGTATTTATAGTATTAATTTAATTTCTTTATAGAATATTCATTCATTTATTTAATTTATTTGTAGTCTTCAGTTTGAGACTCAGTGTTTATTTATTTATATTTAGTATTTATAGTGTTCAGATCTCTGCCTTTAGTTTGAGATCTGAGTTTGAGATATAAAGGTCTCTTCTGAAACTCTGGAGATTATTTGTTTTCATTTCTACTGTTGAAAATCAGTTGAAAGTGTTTCAAATTGTTCTTTCATTATACAATAGAATGAAACGGTTTGCAATAGAATAAATGAATGTATCATAAATCCTTCTATGTTAATGAACAGAAATAGACACATTCGAATCAAAATCTGCCGACGTTTTCGTTGCTGTTGTTATACATCAAGAATCTCCAAGTTCTTTCCTTCATCTTTTGCATCCTCTCTTTGCCACTATAGATTGAGTGAGAAGCATTTCTGTAATTAATTCTAGAATCATTTCTGTAATAAGCTGAGGGAAACGAGGAGTCAAATGCAGTTCTGAATGTGATGGATTCTGATCCATATCACATATTGATCATGTTCACGTCCTCGGGCAGGCGCTGAGTCGCAGGAACCCGTGCTGATGCCCCCTGCTGGTTACATTCACATTCACCTTGGCGTCCCCTCAAGAGCTAATCTTAGAAAGGCCTCGGTATAATTGAGAATTAAACGGAGACATCTGTTATAATGTCAGGAGTCCAGATGTAATTGGGCATTGGTGTTTTCAGGAAGACTTGGCTTTATATGCAAAAGAGTTTGCTTTCAGTGCTGATCTACAAAAGTTCTGTTGTGGTTTCAGTAGGAAATACCATGATGAAAGAAACCTTACTGTAAACTCTTACTGGTATCTATCGAAGGTAAGGCTACATAGTTAACATGAACTAACAGTGAACAATCCTTCATTATTATTCTTAATGTGCATTTACTGTATTTGTAAACATTGTGAACTAACAGGAACAAACAGCGAGCAATTATATTCTTAAACGCTTTAAAATATATATCGCTCATTGTTATACTTCATGTTAGCTAATGCATTAACTAATGTTTACAAATGAAACCTTACCGTAAAGTGTTACCGATACTTTAGTTTACAGTAAGGTTTCGTTTGTAAACATTAGATAATGCACAGTAAACTAACATGAACTAACAATTATTTCTACAGCTTTTATTAGTTTTAGTTCATGTTCATTTTAACATTTAATACATTTACTAATAAATAACTGTATTTTAAGTGAATGCACTGTGAACTAACATGAACAATTGTTTTTGTATTAACTACCATTGACAAAGATTATTAAATGTTGTAAAACATATATTGCTCACTGTTAGTTCATGTTAGTTAATACATTAAAGCTGCAGTCCTTAACGTTTGGTGCTCTAGCGGTTAATAAACAGAACTGCATGCGTGTTGCGGAAGAACATTGTAGCCGGAGCTACTTCTCTCTGTTTATGTCTATGTCACGCAGGTACTGGGCTATCCGCAGCTGTACGACCCCAACCAGTCTAAAATAGTCCCAATATAAACACTTATTATAGATGGACTGTATGACTCAGGATAAGACAAAAACACGGTTTCGGAAAATGGATTCAGGATGTACTCGCTCATTTTATAATCTTTGTCCCAGAGTTCAATATGCTCAACCCCCTTTTTCCTAAGCATGTTATTGGCCAAGACTTTCCGTCCCTGGAACGAGCTTCTCATCTATTACAATCCTCTATAATACACAGTAGATGGCATCATAAAGCCTGTTTTTTTCACAGATGATTGCTTTTAAAATATATTATTTGGGGTTTAAACCATTTTGTACGGAGCCCCTAAAGGGACCTTTGCAAAAAAAATTAAAAATAAAGACTATTGCGTCCGCACGCGATACGTTTCTCGTGCGCACGCGATAGTTTCTCTAGGTGCTATTTTATTTTGTATTTGAAATATTGTACAAATATGTTTATTATTGCATTTTTTATCAATCTATTCAATGCCATTTAAAATTAATTTTGGATTTATCATTAATGTGGAGTTAAATTGAATATGACTTTTGATAAGATGAATCAGAGTAGGTGAAATAGCTTTAATGACAGAATTCAATTCTTTAAAATGCACAGGAAAACTATGGATTCGCATAAATTGTTCGTATGTTAAAATATTTCCATAATTATCAAACATATTCATAAGATGATTAATATTCCTGTTAAACCAATTCCTTAAAAATAAGGATTTATTGGTCGCGTTGTAACCAACAGTTTAATAACACTTTGGTCTTTTTTAATCTAGAGGAGAAGTTTAAACTTTGACATCCATGCTCTTGTTTTCCTCAATAGTAATGACAGTGACGCAAATTGTACGCAAACCGGAAAATGTAATGCGTGCACACGAGAAACGTATTGCGTAACTATCGCGTGCGCACGAGAAACTATCGCGTGCGCACGAGAAACTATCACGAAACTATCGCGTGCGCACGAGAAACTATCACGAAACTATCCCGTGCGCACGAGAAACTATCGCGAAACTATCGCGTGCTCACAAGAAACTATCGAGAAACTATCGCGTGCGCACAAGAAACTATCGCGAAACTATCGCGTGCGCACGAGAAACTATCGAGAAACTATCGCAAAACTATCGCGTGCGCACGAGAAACTATCGCAAAACTATCGCGTGCGCACGAGAAACTATCGCGAAACTATCGCGTGCGCACGAGAAACTATCGCGTGCGCACGAGAAACTATCGCAAAACTATCGCGTGCGCACGAGAAACTATCGAGAAACTATCGCGTGCGCACGAGAAACTATCGAGAAACTATCGCGTGCGCACGAGAAACTATCGCGTGCGCACGAGAAACTATCGAGAAACTATCGCGAAACTATCGCGTGCGCACGAGAAACCATCGCAAAACTATCGCGTGCGCACGAGAAACTATCGAGAAACTATCGCGTGCGCACGAGAAACTATCGAGAAACTATCGCGTGCACTCGAGAAACTATCGAGAAACTATCGCGTGCGCACGAGAAACTATCGGGTGCGCACGCAATAGGTTTCGCATGCGCACGCCATAGTCTTTTTTTTTTTTTTTTTGCTAAGGTCCCTTTAGGGGCTCTGTAATTTTGCCAAAATAGAAGAAAAAAATATCTTTAACGAATATTAACAAATGAGACCTTATTGTAAAGTGTTACCTATATAGCAATTTGATTTAGAATTATTCTTATAATCATATACCATGCTATTTACTTGGGACTCTAGTGTAGTTCAGATAATACCATGGTTCATGTTGAAAACAATATATGGTGCAATAATAAATAATTTCCAAATATTGTATTGAGACTTATGCAAGCTGTAAACTTTTGTATTTCCATTTGAGTGTTTTTTATTTATTACCATACTTTTTTTCAAAAAGGCCTTTAAATCTCTGGTAAAAGCAGTCCCAACACATCAAAAACAACTAGCTCCTGTCAGATGTGAGGTGTACTAATGTGAAAATTGTTGTTGTTTTCAGAGTGTCCATGGGAGTGGGACAACCTGACCTGCTGGCAGCCGGCCGATGTCGGTGAGGTCGTGGAGGTCAACTGTCCCGAGCTCTTTGATTTCATGAGTCCAGATGAGGGTGAGAGACATTCATAGTAATGTATTTAAAACCCCTACTTACAAGTACAAAGTATTGAATAAATACTGCAAAAAGATGAATGAAAACTGCTCATTGTTAGTTAAAGGTGCAAAACGCAAGTCTCTGAGTTTTTGCAGAACTACGCCCCCTCTGGCGACAAGCGAAACTGCAACCAGAGTTGTGCACGCTCATGGACCACACGTATCTTTTATTGGATATGTTTTATGTTTCATGTTGTACTATTCTTCCGAACACAATTCCTAGTTTATGAAACTGTTCACTAACAATGGTAGTAAAACCAATTCTGATTGTACATGTATCTAGCTTATGCTAAAGCATTACACATTTTACGCATCATCATTTGTTGTCATACATAGATTGGCCGTATCAAACATTAGAGACTGGGCTATATCTTACCGTTTTATCAAGAAAAAAGCCAACTGAGGATCCCGTTTGAGACCAAGAGCAGACCGGAGATCTCTCCATTTGTTGAAAGCCTTCCCGATGTTGACTCTCGTCTTACTCCGACGCCTGTCTGACTCCAATTTGGACCTTTTGGTGGCACTAGACAAAAATTTTCTTTTCTTTACTTTACGTGGAGTTTGTGTTGGGGTTTGGAGTGGACTACAAGCCGGTCTCTTTGAATCCATCTTCTACCTTTGACGCACGAGTTGTCTTCGCTGATGCGGAGAATGGCGGTGCCGGCGAATATAAACAAACCTGCCAGACATAGCCTGGTGAGCGTGAACGCGCATGACGTCACGCCCAGTCTCAAATTCGAGCCCGAATCCCTCTTATATATTTTACTGTACAGGATTATAGAGGCAATCTCAGTGCGCAGAGAAGGGCTCATTCAGCCCATCAGGCAGTTCTTTAAGCATGTATAGGATAGAAAAACAGGTATTTTTAATATGAAAAGTTGCGCAATGCACCTTTAATGCATTAACTAACAATAACTTATGAGACATTATTGTAAAGTGTTACCAACATATTTTGGTATACCTAATACATGTAATTTATTCCTGTGATGCAAAGATGAATTTTCAGCATTATTACTCCAGTCTTCAGTGTCACATGATCCTTCAAAAATAATTTATTTTGAGAAGAATAAATAGTATAATAAAAATGAGTTAAATATATAAACATGAACAAGACAAAAACTGTATTTCGTATCTTGTCAAAAATTAGAATGTTTTTGCCCTTATTTATGGCGCAGAACAGCAACAATGCTAAACCAACTTTAGGCTATACGTAAGGTCTTGAGTCAGTCAATATAAATGTATGTGGTGATGTATGTACGCTTTTGTTCTTGCAGTTCTGCTGACAGCAGCAAATTTCAGCAGTTGCTTACAGGTTTTTTTAAAAAGTGAGAAACACATTTGATTTATGGCTGTTCTGGTTGTTGCCCTACTGCATTTCAGGGCTTGGCAAGATCAGCAGAAACTGTACGGAGTTCGGTTGGTCTGAACCGTTTCCACACTATGTTGATGCCTGTATGATAGGTTACAACTCAACCAACCCTGTGAGTATTTCATCTGACTGAAATCTAAATGATAGAAACGATTCGGATCATGATGGTCATAACCACCATAGTTATTTAGGGTTATAAGTGACCCCCATTATTTAAAGGTGCAGTAAGCTATTTCTGAGAAACGCTGTTGAAAGCCTGAAAACAGACCCCATTGGTTTTACTATGTTTCACAGAACCAAGATATGCTGTTGTTGTAATGTTAGCAATAGTAACAGGACAGTTTTGAGTGTCGAGCTAATGTGTTGCTAGCAACTTTTGCTTGTATATACTCTTGTGTACTGGATGTTCATGTTTTGTTCTTCCTTGTCATACATTCGCTTTTGTTTTTCATGAAGCATTATTTTACTTTGTTTCAGCTAGAAAGAAACATCCACTCTTGCATTGTGTGTTCATGCATTTGGGGGGCGTAGCAATGAATATCAACAGTGTTTCTCAGAAATCACTTACTGCACCTTTAAATTAGACCAGTTCTTAAAGTAGTGGTAATTTTGTATTTGCATAGTATTTGACTTTATTCGTCGAATTTGTGGTAAGTGTTTACTCTAGGACAGTGCATGCTCTGTATTCAACTCAAAGAAATGGACGAAAACAAAAACCTTTGCAAAATGGCTGCTCACCAAAAGTAATTTTGTTTTTCTCTTCCCTTCAAGGACATGTACTACGCATCTGTGAAGGCTCTCTATACGGTGGGCTACAGCACGTCTCTAGTGTCTCTGACCACAGCTATGGTCATTCTGTGCCGGTTCAGGTCAGTTTTAAAGCAGTGTCATCACACAACATTGACCTTTTCATAACATGCTGTTTCTCTTGAGAACGTAATTTTGTGCTGGTCACTTGAGGAAGATTCAATGGAAAAGGATCCAACCTGCTTGCAAAGGGCTCTTAGGGGGAATCTCTCGAAAACCATGTCATATTTGTCAAGAATTGTGACATTATGTTCAACAGTTAAGCACATTTTAACCTCTGGTCATGTATACTGTATGTATAAATAAAAGGAAATAAATGTTTTAGAAATAATATGAATTAATCGTTTGTCCGAATACTTAACGTGAATTAAGCATATATCATTTATCTTGTTTAACACGTTTATTTTGCCATCATTCGCTATATCCAGCAATGTAAACTATCAGATTGAACACATAAAGGATTTTGAATTAATCGATCTCAAAATCTTTGTATTTCTAAAAAATGTATATATTGGTCAAACTCTATAGTACATGATGAATGTTAAAAACATGGAGTTACCATGATATCTTATAAATACAGGTAGCATATTCTTTTTATGCAAAATATAAATATTTTTATTTTTTGTAAGATTGTCCCCATAACTTTAAAAAAAAATACCGGTTTCCAATTACAATGAAAAAGGATTTTACAGCCTGGTTCAATTGAAGAAGCTTTTCGAGATACACAAAGTACTTTGTTTTCTTTTGGGTTTTTTTTTAGAAATCCTTCTATGTAGCGGTGCTTTCAAGTACCCTGAAACCAAATAGAGTGATCTGAAGAACCTACGTATAATGTAAATTATGATAAGATGCCAAGGGCTTCAAAAGAACTATTGATGAGTGTTTACACAGTCATTGATACAGACCCTCAGCTTCCCACCCAAACACATTAGAATTTCAATCTCATATAATGGCGTAATCCTTGAACGTCTGTCAACAGGAAGCTTCACTGCACCAGGAACTTCATCCACATGAACCTGTTTGTGTCCTTCATGCTGAGAGCCATCTCTGTGTTTATTAAGGATGGGGTTTTGTACGCACAGGAGGACAGTGACCACTGCTTTGTTCATACTGTGAGTAATGCACATCTGCCATTTTGTTTTTAATGCCAATGAACACAATGACCAATCTGATTAAAATGATGTTCACTAATACACAATGAAGCCATTTTATTTGTCATGAAGTTGAGTGCACATCACCAGCTAAATATTACTCATTACTTTTTGCACTTACGGTTTTCGACACCAAGTCAAATCAACATGTTTCGGGCAAAACCATTTTTGAGCGACGGCCAACTTAGTTTTTTCGTTGTGTTCCGCACCGTTGGCTCTAGTCGGACGCTCCCTGGTTTTTTGGACCGACTCAACTTGAAGAATCGGTGTCGGGCCGTCGGTGAGAGAGAGAACTATGATTGGCTGTTCAGTTTAGCAAACAAGAATAAGCGAAGAGCTGATGAAAGCAAGCAAAGAAGTCATGACGGCACAGACAGAACGCTGTTCTAATGTTACGTCATCTTACCTGAGCATTCCACTGCGTGAATATTTTAACATGATCGGAGGGGAATAAAGAACGTGATCAGCATGATTTATATTAAAAATGGTAACCAAGCGCTGCTTTGTTTATGGTTTGTGTACCTGCAGTCTTAGTTTCGCTTTCCCTTTTGGGGAATATAGACGAATATATCTGCTTAAAGGGATAGTTCACTTTGAAAATAATTTTTGGTATGTTTAAGCTTACCTCAAGGGCATCCAAGATGTAGGTGTCTTTGTTTCCGCAGTAGTTTCAATTTTGATATTTTTAGGTCAAACCGTTCTCGTCTGTCAGTCATATAATGCAGGTCTATGGTCACCACCTCAAAGAGCATGCACAGAGAAGTCCAAATTAAACATGATTTAATGACTCGTAAATGTAAGTACGATTTTTTTTTTTTTTTTTTATTATTATCTTGTGCCCTGACTGCAAATCAAGTTTCCCATGCACCTGAGATAATAATAATAAATGAAATGAATGAAATAAGTACACATTGATGGCCTAAGACACGAAGCGAGCGTTTTGTGTGAGAAAACGAACAGTATTTATATCGTTTTTACCTCTTGTAAACACAGCCACGTCCAAGTGATCTGAGGGCGCGGGCGCTTCGGTCTGCGCAAGCGCCGGAAGTGACCTCTCGTGCGGTTGCGGAAAAAAATCAAAACTCAGATCACTTGGACGTGGCTGTGGTTACTACAAGAGGTAAAAACGATATAAATACTGACCATAGACCTGCATTATATGACTGACAGACAAGAACGGTTTGACCTAAAAATATCAAAATTGAAACTACTGCGGAAACAAAGACACCTACATCTTGGATGCCCTTGAGGGTAGGGGTGGGCGACATGAGCAAAAATTTATATCACGATATTTTTCACAGTCCGGACGATATCGATATTATATTGCGATATGAGAAAAAAAATTGGAATCACATTTTAGTACACCTTAGTTAAATTACAGGCAAAATATGTATTTTAACCCTATTACTAGAAAAAGGTGAGGGATTTAATTGGACATAGACCTGAAAAATCTTTTTTTATTGTGCCATTGTTTTTCTCAAAAAGTGCAAACGTGCAACATGAGGTAGGCCTGAATTCACTAGTTATCTCTTTCCACTTTTTATTTTTTGCGGGGGTCAAATAATTCCTTCGTTAATAATTCGTAAGATGAGTAACACTGGAGTTTGGATATGTTTTGGATATGTGAGTTTGGATATGTTTTGAATACGTTATAATCAATAAATATGAAATAGTGTGATTTCAGAGAGGTTTGACACTTAGGCCTACTTCCTGCTTATTCAGTGGTGAGAATTTAATTGTTGTTATTATATATATATTGTTGTCCATTTATCGAACTTCCATACTTCTTATATAGTAATTATATATAACTATGTATCAATTTACTAATGCTCGGACACACGCGGTCTCTCTCACTTGAGGTAAGATAAAACATATCAAAAATTAATTTCAAAGTGAACTATCCCTTTAAATAGACAGTTACCAGTCATGCTAGCTGACAGTCGCCTGTAGTTCTTTCAGTGTGTTCAAGCACAGATTGTTTTGCCCCCGATGCAAGGTGACAACACAGTCGGCTTTCATCAGCCCTAGTTCTTTGGCGTCGGTTTGGTGTGTCCCTACCTTAAGACTCACTACTGCTATACAAATAGAATATATGAAATGACCTGTAGCAGATCTATACAGGTGGAGCTGGGGGAGGTGGAGGGTTTCTGAGGAACCTTGCTGCAAACTGCTACAGCAAACACTGACCAACTGTTTAAATGTTGAGCAGCAAGCTCATTGGCTGCAGATGCAACATGAACCAATTAGCTTGTGCCGTGTAGTTAATGATGTAACTGTGTAATTGTCAGCGCCATCTAGAGTATCATGACAGAACTTGCTGTTTATTAGTGAACCATTTAATGTCCATAGCTCTTATACACTGTAAAAAATTATTTTGTGATGAAGTAAATACTACTGAAAAAAAAACAATGTAATTTACATGAAAAAGTTAGTTCAGGCAAGAATTTAAAAAACTAAGTAAATTCCATATCAGTACTTGATTCAAGCGAGTAGAAATGAAAGCGTAAATATCAACTTAATAAAATTAAGTAAAAATTACTCAACTTTTCTGACACTGGGGTTCCCATCATGCACTGGACCTTGAATAAATAATGAGGTTGATTTTTCACTGGTTTCCAGCTGTATTTACACTGTTTTATCATTGCTTTTGTTGTTAGGATTATAGTAACTTGCCATTTTGTGACATTTCGACTAAATTTTCTGCTCAAAATGACACATTCAAACACAAAAACGATCCATCAAATGTTACCGTCATTGTGTATTTTCTACCAAGTATTGAGGTCTTTGCATTCACATGTTGTTTATTATCTTACATGATGTAGTATAAGTTACTTAGAAGTTCTAAGTAAAGCACATACTGGTATAATTCAATGTTATTGTTTGAGTGAAATGTAATGCAAAGGAAATTTCAACTAAATTGATATTGCTCATCCTTTTACTAGCCAAGTTAAAATTTCTTATTTTATTTGTTACATTCACTTGACTAGGTTAAGTAAAGTTTACTTAATTCCATATTTCAAGTAAATTTAACTTAAATATTTCTAATTAAAGCTACTGATAAATATGTTTAGGTTTTTACTTGGCAAATCGTTGTAAATTTACTAGCTTTTTTCAAGTAAATAAATTTTTTCAAGTAAATAAATTTTTTCAGTGTAGTTAGCTTGAAAATATCTCTAGAGAAGAGTATTTTGCTAAATATTTTACACATTCATTATATTTTTGTTTAACCTTTTGACTTTATTAATTAATGTTTAAAAAAAAGTGCAACCAAGTTTTCATGAAAACAAGTCCTTTTACAGCCACCATTTAAAGGAGCTGTAATGAAGAAATTTAATTCAATTAATCATAAAATGGCCCTGATATGTCACTAGACATTAAGAAATCATGTTCATTTCAAATACTTAAATATCACTGACAACAGTAGTTCGGCCAGGATATTGTCATTTAAAAAGTGAAGTTGCAGCCATCAACTGATGTTGATGTTGTCATGTTGTGTTTTGGTCTGATGCTCCACCCTCCACCTATCTACCAATCACGAAGTCAGTAGTGTTGCGGCATCCGGGTTGCCAGCTCTGCTCTAGTTACCACTTCTTGTAGCAGCCTACGCTCCTGCTGGATCCTGCAGCCTGTCTGGCAACCTCGAGTCAGGGAGGAGGGGGAGGGGATACACCTAGTCATTTGAAAGTGATTGCAGTACCAGTTTTGGCCACAATCTTACATACAGCTCCTTTAAATGTTTATATTTCAACAAGGAATTGTAGTAGAAATATAATTATATAAAAACTGCCTTGTGTACAATTGAATTGTTTATTTACAACTCATTATTTATTGATATGAGTGCTGATTATTAAATAATTGATTATTAAATAAATGTTATTTCCCGTTTAATTTTTCGGCTAAATTAAAACTTTAATTTCGTTTTCCGGTGTCTCTATAAGCTTTGCTTTCACAGTGAATCGCCCACAAACGGATACGTATGAATATGAGATTGAACTGTTGGTCTTGGATGCCATTTGCATGTGAAACCCACAGACTAATAATAACTCGATCCGTTTATGTTCAAGCCCACGTTCTGCAGCAACATGTTCTGTTTCCCCCATCTGTGCCTGACAAACAGCTGTAATTATCATGAAGCCGAGTTCAGCGAGCTCTGGAAATATTCCATTATTTCCATATTAGCATATGAATAGCTTATCAAAACGGGCGCGCTCTCATTATACACCTGAATGAGGGCTTTGAGCTCTTTCCCCCAGCCAATCAGAGGCCGTGGTAAGGACATCACTTAGCTTTGAATTGGTTCAGAGGGTAACTGATGAACATAAGACTTCAGGGTGTTCTGACAAATAGCGGGCTATATATTGTGAATGGAAATGTTCATCTTTCAGACGAAAGGATGCATCACTGATCCAGAAGCGTATAGCTGGTTTAAGCTGGTCATTAGGCTTGTTTGATGCATGCACTTTAAACCAGCAACACATCAGCTACCATGTTATAAAAATCAGCTTGACCGATTGAAGGCCTTTGATAGTAATCATCTAATCAACTAATCTAATTCATCCTAATCAAATAGCCAGTTTCAGTTTTTTGCAATCAAATAATTTCACGATGTCCTATTTTTTGTTGTTGTTGTTGTTGTTGTTGAACATCCTCTTTTACTCTAAAATATGTCGGAATAGGAATTAAGGTGAACTTTGGACATTTCCTATTCAGTAGTGGTCAAAATATTGAAATTTTCACTCATTTATTATTTTCGTGAAATTAAAAAAAGGGGACAATATAGATTTCTGTATGTTTCTGTTTTATAACTGTTGTGGGTTACATTATTATTATAATTAATCATTTTTATGATGTTTGCGACTGCGAGTCAAACTGGTTTTAATACAATTCGCCAAAAATCATACTATAAAAAAATTGTAAATTGCAAATAGCAAACAGATCAAAATTATACAATATTAAACTTACGACTTCAAAAAAACATTACAAAAATGAATCAAATAAATGATTTGATTAAAAACAACAACTATATAACAAATATTTTTTTATAATTTCATTTCACAAACTGTGAATATACTGTATACAATTCTTTTCCAATGTTATTTTAATGTTTGTGCTTTTGTAAAATAATCTTTACTGTCCCAATTCATGCATATTATTTTGCCATTTTGGGTGATTTTAGCACAAAGTATGTGTTTTCTGCTAATGTAAATGCTAGTGTCATTTTTGCCAAATATCAGACCTTATCTGACAGTAAAGTATTATAGTATTGTATAATACTATAATACTTTACTGTCAGATAAGGTCTGACAGTAAAGTATTATAGTATTGTATCGTAATGTTATGACGTGTTGATTGTGTCAATTACTGTGTTGTGAGGGCGGGAACATTTAAAATTCTGTATAAAACATTTGCATGGCCTGTTATATAGTACAGTATTACTTTAATTTAACATGAATAGTTAGTATGTGATTACCTTGAAACCATCTGTTTTGGTCATTGATGATAGTATTGCTCAGCTCTAGTCCAGGTTTAGTTCTTCTTCATGGCTAAAGTAGCGGCATGCAACCAAGTGATTATTTACAGGTTTTTTTGAATGTGCTATACACTTCTGGGTACAGGACACTGAAAACTGTGTCTATACTGAGGTCGTCTGATGGAGTACTAACAGGGATCCACTGGCTTTTCTAAATGTGTTTCTCTGTGTTCAGGTGGGGTGTAAGGCAGTCATGGTGTTCTTCCATTACTGTGTGATGTCAAACTACTTCTGGCTCTTCATCGAAGGTCTCTATCTCTTCACACTGCTGGTGGAAACCTTCTTCCCTGAGAGACGCTACTTCTACTGGTACACCATCATCGGCTGGGGTATGTCACAGTGATGCATCATACGGAAACGGATTGTTACGTGATTGATTATGTGTCACACTCATAGATATGGAAGGAAATGGAGTGCAGCGTCTGTATTAACCGGCCACTGGCTCTTTATGATGTGATTTGTTGTGCTGGCATATGTAATACATTAATATTGAAGGTCTAAATGCATTAGAGAACAGCTTTGAGGTCTGACAGATTTGCTCTTCCTCTCACACTTGCAGGAACGCCCACCATTTGTGTGACCATATGGGCTGTTCTGCGTCTTCATTTTGATGATTCTGGGTACGTGTAATGCCGCATAAACAAAAAGTGATATACTGTAATTGTTGCTTTGATGCCTACGCAGATGCTGGCACTGAACTACACTATTAGCATTCAGTGGCACTAGTCACAAGAATGTTTGGAAAGGAATACAAATGTAAAAATGAGTAATGATAATTGCACAGTATATACTGTATACTGCATACCATTTAAAGCAAATGTATGCAGTATGGAACAATACATGTTTTAAATGAGATTCTACTACTTTGTTACATAACCTCACTATGTTGCATGTTTAATTCGGCGAGTGCCATCTGATGCATATGGTTTAATCCAGGTTTGTGTAAAAAAAAAATTTTTTTAGTCAGTAATGGGTTGATCAACATGTAAAGGTGCAACTCATTTTACGTCTGTAATGTGATATAATAATGCACAATATGACATTTATTAACCCTATAAGGGCTGTATCACATCTCATATGCAAATGTTTAAGGCCTTTAAATTATCATGAAGGAAAAGAAAACTTGTACACAATCTACTACATGCCTTCTGTCCACCTTTAGATCATGGTTCACGTGTTTTTTTGCTGTGAAATACTGATTTTTATTAAGTAAATGTAAGAATAACTTTAGCATTTTTATCAATATTTCACAAATGGACAGAAGCAACTTAGTTCCACTTGATTATCAATACATAATTATCTGTAAAATCCTGTTAAAATGTATCAGATATGATAGGCTACATCAGGCTTTTGAGGAACGTATCAATCATCACTGTATTGCATTGCATTATATGATAAAACTAAAGAGCTTTGATAATAAAAAACAACTGATATTTATGTGCATTTTGTGTAAGTATCTGCTATACTGTTACAAAGATCTCATTAATTTACAGTACAAGCTACCAGAATTTCATCTTACTGTTTGGCCATATAAATATCAGTATCTGTACCAAAATAAAAACTGAGGTGGTTTTCCTCCTGGAGTATGAGCTCCATATTCTCACAATACGAGTCATAAAAGCCTGACACTAAAACTTTTTTATTTAGATTAAAAAAATATATACATTTTGTCTAAATGTTCAATAAACTGGAATCAAAATAATTTCATATGTCAGGCTTTACAAGGGTAAGAAAATGAAAATAAATAGGGTCAATTTTGATTCGAGCACATTGCATTGTGTGCCGGTTTTCCAGGCAGTGTGCGCTGTCGAATATTGTGCATTTAGGCAAATGTAGCCGGGCATCTGGCACATACCGCAAGCTATTCTCTTTCAAAAGCATGTAACTGCTAAATCATGTGACCGAACGGACCAATGGCCAGTTTCTTAAATCAATTGTATTTCTGCAGTTGCTGGGACACGAATGATAATACTGCCCTCTGGTGGGTGATCAAGGGACCTGTTGTGGCATCAATCATGGTAAGCCAAGAAATTTGAATAAAAAAAAAGAAGCTAAATCATGGATATATAAAACATATATATTAATTTATGAATGTATGTGAATGGGAGACATAATAACGCATGCATTTGCTTCCAGATTAATTTTGTCCTCTTCATTGGAATCATCATAATCCTGGTGCAGAAGCTGCAGTCTCCAGACATCGGCGGGAACGAGTCCAGCATCTACCTGTGAGTAGCTGGCCTCAGTCACCATGGAAACAGCGTACTGTTGGTGTGTTGTGTCTGATTGGTCGATATGGAGTATCTCATGATGAACTCGGTGGCTGAAATTAGATTGAAAGTCTTAATAGTTGTATGCAAAAAACTATACTTAATAGCGCTTTATACAGATTGTTTCAAAGCAGTTTTCTAGTGATAAACAGGAAAATAAAGATTCAATGATGTATAGCAGCTCTAAAAGGACAATCGTAAACAGTCATTATTCAGTTGAAATCATTTCAGTGTTGATAGTATAATCGGTAGCATTCATTTTGCATGCATACAGAATTCCTTTTGGAATTGGGTGTAATAATAGAATGTGTGAATAATGTTTCATAGTGTCACAAATCTCCATAGGCCGCTATTTGTTGATTGTTGTTAGAACGGTTGTAGTTTATGTTCAGTAATTTAGTTGTGTGCTGATTGCAGGAGAGAATCCAGGAGGAATCATTGTTGTGTCGATCGAGGTGACGTGTGGCAGTGATTAATAAGATACAATGACTGTTTTTGTTTTCTGGATAAGCCACGTTGTGAATGAGGACTTGTGTCTTAACGTTCACATTAATGCATTTGGCGGATGCTTTGATCCAAAGCGATTTACATTGCATTGAAGGTATACATTTCATCAGTTCTTGTTCTCCCTGGGAATCGAACCCATTACTTTGGAGTTGCTAGCGCCATGCTCTACTGTTTGAGCTACAGGAAGGAAACCCTGACATCTATTGAGATTGACTTTAATTTATGTTTGGGGTCTTAATAGTCTAAATAATTTAGTGCACAAGAAGGACCATATTTAATTTATGGGGCTTTTGCGTTATTTTTTAAGCTTTCGAAGCCTTGTTTATTGTACGGGAAACAGTATCGTGCAAAGTATGTGCTTGAGCTATGAAATGTCCTTGAGGTCTGTTGTGTGCGGTCAGTTTTATCAGTGTGTGTGTGTGCGCGTGCGTGTTCTGTCCTAAAGAGTGTTTGTTGTCTTTGTCGTGTTTAGCAGCTGTGCACAGAAATGCTTCAGTGAGCCCACACAGGCCGCCCAGCATTCGTGCAGGATGTCAGAGCTTTCTACCATCACGCTGTAAGTGTGTGTGTTTGTTTGTGTGAATGTGTGTGCCTGAGTCTGTGTTGGCCAACAAATGTGCATTTTTGTTTTTAAGCTGTGAATATTCCCCGCTGATAGTTTTGGTGTTCTTTTCTGTACATTTGCATGTTTGGCAAATGCTTTTATTGCATTGCATTCCTGTTTGTATACATATATTTCTATCAGTTGCATTCCCCTGGGAATCGAATCCATGCCCATGCTGTCGCTAGTGCCATGCTTTACTGTGTGAGCTACAGGACTTTTACCTGCTGAAAAATGCAGTTGCATCTGTGTTTTGGAACTGGTGGTTTAGGCTGGTCCAATCTGGTTTATACAAGGTGAACTATGCCAGAACTGTTCAAATCAGCCAAGTACTTATGGTTATTGACCCTTGATAAATACTGTATTTAACTACATACCATCTTAAGGTGGTCCAGCTGGTTTTTGGAACATGGCAGATCACTTATTGCTGATCCAAAATGGTCTACCAGCTCAGCCAGTGCAGAATAGCTTAAACCATGATCCCAAAACACAGCTTCCAACACTTTTTGGAGCATTTTTAGCCGATATAAATGTTTGCTGAGCATTTTTTCTTCTCCAAGCTAGTTATTAGATGAGAACTAAATCCATTATTGAGTAGTTGACAAAAAGACATTTCTTGATGCATAGTTGAGTTCTCAGTTGTTTTATTGTAATATCAACTTTATCTCAGATGTTTAGTTCTTCCTATATTTTCAAAGGGGAAAAAATGAAATAATTGTTGACATGCATATGAGTGTCACCATTATGTTCAGTTTAGCTTTAGTTTTTTTTTCATGGACTTTTAGTTTGTTTCTGTTTCCTTTGTTCTAGTTTCCCGCCACTAATCAGTTGTCATGGACATTCATTTGACGAGCACACCTGTCTGTATTCAGTTCATTATCTCTGTGTATTTAAAGGGATAGTTCACCCAAAAATGAAATTTCTGTCATCATTTACTCACCCTCAAGTTGTTTCAAACCTGTATGAAGTTCTTTCTTCTGCTGAACACAAAAGAAGATAGTTTGAAGAATGTCGGTAACCAGACGGTTGATGGACCCCATTGACTTCCATAGTAGGAAAAAAAATACTTTGGAAGTCAATGGGGGTCCATCACTGTTAGGTTTCAAACATTCTTCAAAATATCTTATTTTGTGTTCAGATGAAAAAAGAAATGCATACTGGTTTGAAACAACTTGAGGGTGAGTAAATGATTACAGAATTAAAAAAATTAAGTGAACTATCCCTTTAAGTTCTTTTTTAGTTCATATTCATGGTCCGGTATTGTTTGGGTGTTTGTTCTTGCAACTGTTCTTTGGACTGAAACGTGACAATGAGTACATCTAAAATATATACACTCACCTAAAGGATTATTAGGAACACCTGTTCAATTTCTCATTAATGCAATTATCTAATCAACCAATCACATGGCAGTTGCTTCAATGCATTTAGAGGTGTGGTCCTGGTCAAGACAATCTCCTGAACTCCAAACTGAATGTCAGAATGGGAAAGAAAGGTGATTTAAGCAATTTTGAGCGTGGCATGGTTGTTGGTGCCAGACGGGCCGGTCTGAGTATTTCACAATCTGCTCAGTTACTGGGATTTTCACGCACAACCATTTCTAAGGTTTACAAAGAATGGTGTGAAAAGGGAAAAACATCCAGTATGCGGCAGTCCTGTGGGCGAAAATGCCTTGTTGATGCTAGAGGTCAGAGGAGAATGGGCCAACTGATTCAAGCTGATAGAAGAGCAACTTTGACTGAAATAACCACTCATTACAACCAAGGTATGCAGCAAAGCATTTGTGAAGCCACAGCACGCACAACCTTGAGGTGGATGGGCTACAACAGCAGAAGACCCCACTGGGTACCACTCATCTCCACTACAAATAGGAAAAAGAGGCTACAATTTACAAGACCTCACCAAAATTGGACAGTTGAAGACTGGAAAAATGTTGCCTGGTCTGATGAGTCTCGATTTCTGTTGAGACATTCAGATGGTAGAATCAGAATTTGGCGTAAACAGAATGAGAACATGGATCCATCATGCCTTGTTACCACTGTGCAGGCTGGTGGTGGTGGTGTAATGGTGTGGGGGATGTTTTCTTGGCACATTTTAGGCCCCTTAGTGCCAATTGGGCATCGTTTAAATGCCACGGCCAACCTGAGCATTGTTTCTGACCATGTCCATCCCTTTATGGCCACCATGTACCATCCTCTGATGGCTACTTCCAGCAGGATAATGCACCATGTCACAAAGCTCGAATCATTTCAAATTGGTTTCTTGAACATGACAATGAGTTCACTGTACTAAAATGGCCCCCACAGTCACCAGATCTCAACCCAATAGAGCATCTTTGGGATGTGGTGGAACGGGAGCTTCGTGCCCTGGATGTGCATCCCACAAATCTCCATCAACTGCAAGATGCTATCCTATCAATATGGGCCAACATTTCCAAAGAATACTTTCAGCACCTTGTTGAATCAATGCCACGTAGAATTAAGGCAGTTCTGAAGGCGAAAGGGGGTCAAACACAGTATTAGTATGGTGTTCCTAATAATCCTTTAGGTGAGTGTATAAGTATACTTATTATTATACTGACGATACACGTTTCAGTTCATAATAACCATTAAGCCTATCATATTTGATAAATTCTAAGGCCTCTAAATTATTAACATGATCTGATGCGTTCTGTAGTCTGATGTCCACCTTCAGGTCTTGGTTTACATGTCTTTTTGCTTTTAAATATTTATTGATTTTAAAAAGTAAACAAACCATTTTTATATTGTTATTAATATTTAAAGATGAACACTTACTTGACTGAAGTAATCTCATGCTATATATTACTGATATATTATATTGATGTATTTATATTTATATCTATATTATATATTTATAGAAATTTCATGCTAAAATGTGATTATCAAATATGATACAACAGGCTTTTGAGGAACGTTTACAGTATACGTTCATCTCTCAAACGTTATTGTATTGCATTGAATTATATGTCTTCCCCTCCACAATAAAAGCTACGGAGATTTGATCATAAAACTAAGCATTTAAATATCATCACACTAATACATATTGGGAAGGAGTAACAACTGATATGTATATCCATTTTATGCTTATAAAGATCACATTGGTTTACATTACAAGATAGTTGTTCCTCCTTGAGTATGAGATCTATATTCTCACTATGTGTGACCCTGGATCACAAAACCAGTCACAAGTCACATGGATATATTTGTGGCAATAGCCAACAATACAGTGTATGGGTCAAAATTATCGATTTTTCTTTTATTTCAAAAATCATTAGGATATTAATTAAAGATCATGTTCCATGAAGATATTTAGTAAATTTCCTACCGTAAATATATAAAACATTTATTTTTGTGAGAGAATGCAGCACAATCGCGAACATAAATGGAAAACTTTAAAGGCGATTTTCTCAATGTTTTGATTTTTTTGCACCCTCAGATTCCAGATTTTCAAATAGCTGTATCTCGGCCATATATTGCCCTGTCCTAACAAAGCATACATCAATGGAAAGCATATTAATTCTCAATTTCGAAATATTTACCCATGTGACTGGTTTTGTGGTCCAGGGTCACATATACCATATTGTCTAAAGGTTCAATAAACCATTCCATTAAAAAATATATATTTTTCAGACTATTATTTCATATGTCAGGCTTTACAGGACTTTTAATTGCAGATTTTGGTATTTTGTAAAGACATTGTTGAGATCACAGTCTAGACTATAAGACACATGTGAGATTATTGGGGTCGTTTGCTCAGGAAAAACATCTGAGAAGCAGGTCTATATTTATTGTGTTTACTGTCTAGGAGAAACTATAGATCTATTAAAGAGACCATCTTTCCTATGGAGCAGGATTGTTGTGGATGGCTCTGATCTCCAGTGTATTACAGTAACTGTGTGTTGACATGGTGAGAGATTCAATCATCCGTCTGAAGCGCTGTGTGTGTGTGTTGACAGACGGCTGGCACGGTCCACCCTGCTCCTCATCCCTCTGTTTGGAATCCACTACACGGTGTTTGCCTTCTCCCCGGAGGAATTCAGCAGGCGGGAGCGACTGGTCTTTGAGCTGGGCCTGGGATCCTTCCAGGTACTGAGCATCTGCTTTTACAGCAGCAACTTTAGCATTGTATTGTGGGAACTAGTTCTCTGTTTCAAACCCTATGAGCTTCACTATAGCTGCGATCCCATTGATATTAGGCATCGATATATTACATGCTGCCATTTCTTTGATCGGAAACTAAGCTTTTGCAGTTTATGTTCAATTCAATTCCAGAATGCATTTCAAAAATCTTAGTGAAGAGTAGAATCAAGGGAAAGCATATATTATTCTGTAAACGTATCCAGTTCTGTCTTAAATATATACATATTTGTGAGTGTGATGTATGTATTTGAAACCATTAGCTTAACAACATGCTTATGTTAGGGATTGTAGAGTGTAGCATGCGTGAGAGATATTTTTCTTATGCTTATGTACAATTCACTTCAATTTTTATTTGTGTTGTTTCATTTTTAGTATGCTGCCTTATAGTCGCCTATGTAGGCAACGAGGCAGCTCACTAGGTTTTGGAGCTTTATTGAATAAATAGACTCATTATTTTGTGGGTCAGTAAGATTTAAAAATGTTTTTAAAAGAAGCATCTTATGCTCACAAAGGCTGTGGATCCAAAAATACAGTAAAAATAGTAATTTTGTAAAATATTATTACAATTTAAAATGGCTGTTTTCTGTTTGACTATGTTAAAATGTAATTTATTCCTGTGATGCAAAGCTGAATTTTCAGCTTTATTACTCCAGTCTTCAGTGTCACATGATCCTTCAGAAATTATTCTAATATGCTGATTTACTGCTCTTATTATTGTCAACGTTGAAAACAGTTGTGCTTTTTTTTTGCATTTTTTGTGGAAACCGTGATACATTGTTTTTTCCAGGATTCTTTTGATGAATAGAAAGTTCATAAGAACAGAAATCTTTTGTTACTTTACAAGTGTCTTTACTGTCACTACTAAACAATTGAATGCATCTTTAATTAATTGAATGCACTTTTAATGCAATTTAGTGATAATATTCACTCTATGCAGGGCTTCGTGGTGGCCGTGCTGTACTGCTTTCTGAATGGAGAGGTAAGAGCATTTCATTTGAAATTCTCAAATGCATGCAATCAGTTTTTGGTTAGAAAACAATACATTTCCACAATAATTTTTCCAATATTACTACATGAACAATTATTTTTAGTTACTACCATATCCTAACCAGGCATGACACGACAGTGACAAGCGATCAATTTCATGTTACACACAAAAATACATTTTGTCAGTTAATTGGTAGGTAGCCCCGCACATAGTGAAATCTCATTGGTCCGAACATAAAACATCAAACGACTTCTGACTGGCTATGATTCCGCTTTCTGTGAGGATAGTAAAAATTGATGCTCGAAACGTGTCACATCTGGCTAGGACATCGTGCAAAGCATGAGGGAGAGAGTGTGGAGAACGCGTGCACCCTTACAGCTGAGTACATTAAAAAATGACCTTTTCAAGTTTCTCCCTAAAGGTGCAGTCGGAGATAAAGAGGAAATGGAGGAGTTGGACGGTGAACAGGTACTTTGCTGTGGACCTGAAGCAGCAGCGTCACCCTTCGCTAGCAAGCAGTGGGGTGAACGGGGGGACGCAGTTGTCCATCCTCAGCAAGAGCAGCTCACAGATACGCATGTCCAGCCCACTGGCCGAGACGGTCAACCTCAACCTGCCCACCTGAGCGTCTGATTGGCCCACGTCCCTAAAGCCCCGCCCTCAACTCACCCTCTTCACCTGCAGTAGGGCCGGCCATTCACAATGAGAGAAGAACTATTAATATTATTCATCAATCCTCTGGATAGTATTTAAAGATTCCGAACAAGATCCTGAACGCATCACCCATTATCGGTTAGAAAAGATTCGTCCAGGGATATATTTATAGTGCCAAAACTGTTTTGAGCTAATGCTAACAAAAGTTGCAGTTCAGGTTAGAAAGCTTTTTGACCATAATCCAACTTTTTGAAGGCTTTCTAATTAATCTAATAAGAAAACAACAATATGAGCATAAAAGAATGTCATTTTATCGCAAGAGTTGTACGTTCTTTCTCAGTCAATAATAATGCAGAGCAGGGGGCTTGTACGCTTCACACCGCTGCCCTAAACGCCAAAATGAGATCGCAGCAGAAATTCGAGTGAATTTTCATATCGCATTATGAGCCATAGAGAATGTGAATCGTTTGTGGTTAGAATGTAGTCCGAGAAACGTTCATACATTCATTTTTTGTCAAACCAATAGCACATTGCTTTCTAGTTATGAACATTAGTTTGTAATCGGAGACAGACGGACGGGTTACAATTCAGTGTTATGATAAGATCAAGGAAAAAATAATAACAAAGTGCCAAAACGTGACTATTTAAGTATTGTTTTATCAGCAAGCTACTGTGTTTATCAGAAGTACACTATAAAAAGAAAATGTACAGACTTCGTGTTGCTCGTTCAAATGCTGTGTATTTGATTCCGTGTTCTCCACAGAGAGATTGTAAAACATATTTTTTTACAATCAGCCGTAAGTACAGAGTATGTCAATAATATAAAGACTTATGAATGACTCATGACGTTAGATTATATGTAAATGTTGTTTCGATTTAGCTTTTAGACAGTGTATTCTTATTGTCATGCGAATGGTTTATAACTACAAAGCCAATTTAAACAAACCAAGGATTGTCACACACACACACACACACAAAAAAAAAAAAACATTTACCGGAGCGAGGAAGCTATATTCCCACAATTCCCTCTGATTCGTTCTGAAGTGCCTGTTGGTCACAAAAATAGCTTTGATGGATCTATTCTAAACAACCAGTGCCGTGCGCTATTGATTTAATTATTAGTCAATTAGTAGATTAACAGATTCAGTGTTCAGGTTGCTTTTACAATCTTTCATTTATACCGAGTAGGAATATATTCATTTATACGTGGTATTAGAATGCATATATAGTATGTCTAAATCTTTGAGATGCGCAAATCAATGCCATTACGTTACTATCAGGTGCATTATAAATGCTTTTTAGGGCTGACAGGAGACATCTGAATGAAATGTGATAGTGTTAAAGGGGTACTTCACCCAAAATTGTAGATTCTGTCATCGTGTACTGACCCTCATGTCAATCCAAAATCGGACTTTTTGAATGTTTATCCTCTTAGAATGAAAATAAGCTCCAAAAGGCTAACAAAGCGCCGTTTTACTACCGTAAACGGTGCACAAGTCATATGAAATACTTTTTATGGTACGGTAAAAGTATGTCATACAGGTTTGAAATGGCATGATGATGAGTAAATGATGACAGATTTTCACTCGTTTTTTGGATTGAACCCTTTTAAAGCTTGAGAGACAGTTAACCCCAACCCTTTACAAGTACAATCTCTGATGTCAATCTATGAAGCCAACCAAATTTACTGCATCACCACTGACTGACAATCATAATTAGTTATCCCTCACATTTTACATGTTAGATCACGAGGACAACGTGCATCAGTGTATAAAGTGGCAACAGTCTCTGCTAAACGGTGTTGTTTATTTCCAGTACAGTATTTTTCTCTGCTGTGAAGTTCTAGGGTGTAAATTCTCTGTATACGTTACACATGTGCCAGTAAATGATGGATGTACCAGCACTCTCTCTTTACATTAGCCAACACTTGCAGTCAACATGGAGTACTAATGATGTATGTAAAACTTCTGTGATTATGAACGTGCCAATTCAAGTGCATTATGCTTTTGTTGCAGCTCAGTTGTCGGTGTATCACATTGGAGGCAGAGTTGAAATTATTGAAATGTACAGTGAAAGTAATGGTCGTGTAGATTGCACAAATCCTTCTTTTAAACAATGTGGAAAATGTATGTTTTTTTTTCCCCCTTAGTAGTTATTTTAAAGTTGAAGCGTGTAATTTGTAATCTGTTCTAGAATCACCATTCAAAAGTGCAAAAATAATAACAGGTTTCATACACTCTCCCCATCTTTCATTAGCCGAATAAAAATAGCCCCACCCCGGTTGAGGCAACAATTGCAGTTCCTTTAAAAGTAATATTTTTGATGTGAAATACGTTTTATTCTTAATAGAGACAACTATAAGTCATTTGTAGCTGGCTTCTGCTTGAAAATTGTAAACACTGCGGCTCTTTGGTGCTATAAAAAACATGTTTGTTTTCAGCATCACAAACAGCAACATTAGCTCAACCAATGGCATGAGATTGGGGCGGGGCTGTATCTGTTTGCCGACCAATGGCGAGGGGAGTCTTTAAATAAAATATTCCATGAGTGCTCACCGGTGATGAAAACTTTGACCTTTCTCATTTTTGTCTTATCGTAATTTTTCAGTCTGTAAATACGAATGATCTTCAACAAGCTCTCAGTGATAGTGAACTTGTCTGTTGAAATAAATTGTGAAATCCTAACAGAGTGTCATTAACAGAGCGTCAGATGTTGCTTGGATCATGTGACCTTACGACATAGAGCTTCATATGTGTTTGGATATAGTAACGGGAGGGCCGAGCTCCCTCTGTGTCTCTTTCTTAAAATATCTGCATGAAAAAAAAAGAGAGAGAATTTTGCTGCTTTCTATGTTCTTGACACCAGCCGTCATTCTGAGTGTGAGCGCTCAGAAGCTAACGACCATGTCTCAAAGCTGTTACAGACGTGTTTTCTTGTGCTTGTAATACATCTATCTGCCAATAGATGACGCTTTTATTTCATAGAATAATTGAGCGCTGTATATTTGAGGAACGAGGGTTGTCTGTCGTGTAGGTCTGAAGTTTCATTGTGTCTTTGAGATGTCTTCATGTTGTGGACTAACTCATTTCAGTCTGAATGTAACACCCGGACAACAACTGTATTGTACATTCAGCTGCTCTGTAAAGCTGCCTGCTGTTTCTTCTGCTTTGATGTAGAGATGATGTCTATGTTTGACCTGTGAACATTTTTGTACGTGTCTGAATTCCATTCTTGACATACAACTCTTGAATTTATGGAATTTGTGTAGTTTTTTATGTATGTATACATGTGTCTTCTTTGAATGTGTGTGGGAGAGATACAGTATAAATATGGTTGGCTGTTCACTGAACTGTGCAAAATAGAAAAATGCTAAACTCCCCTGATTTTATTTTTGTTAAAGGTGCAGTAAGCGATTTTAGAAACACCGTCTGATCTGACCGAGCGGCACAACACACTTGTAGCCAATCATGTTCGTTTGAGGTGATTTCAAATATCAACAGTGTTTCTCAGGAATCGCTTACTGCGTCTTTAAATTTGACAAAAAGACAAATGTGTAGGGAAGGTCTACACCTCCATGCAAATGCATTTTTTTTTAATTAGAAATACAAAAAAATCAAGTAAAAGTAGTAATAGTAAAATAAGCTATGCTACAGCCTGCATAGTCAAATTAACTGGATACATTTAAATATTTTCATAAATATATTAAATATTAAAATAGTCAGCTGTAATTTGATCTAATACATATTTCATACAAAACCAAAACATTTAAGAACTGTGTCAGTCGGGAAAAACATCAAAATAAACTGTCAGCATCTATAAAATGGGGTACAAAGTTAAAATAAATTACAGTACATTACATATTTTTAAAGCTGTAAACATTGTTCTCAGTGTAACATTGCAACATAACTTGACATTTCTGAAGATTCACTTTTTTTAAAGTCTAAGTGCTCCAGTTAATATTGTACACTATTGGTATTCAGCTGTGATGTCTGCAGAAGTACAATACCATTTAAAAGTATGGGGTCAGTAAGATTTTCTTTGAAAGAAATTAATAGGCTATTTTTATTCAGCGAGGATGCATTAAGTTGATCAAAATTGACAGTAAAGAAGACATTTATAATGTTACAAAAGATTTCTTTTTTTAAATAAATGCTGTTCTTTTGAACTTTCTAAGAAAAAAATGTATCACGGTTTACACAAAAATATGAAGCAGAAGAACTGTTTTCAACAATGATAATAATAATAAATGTTTCTTGACCAGCAAATCAGCATATTAGATTGATTTCTGAAGGATCTGTGTTGACATCACTGTATTAAATTACATTTGAAAATATATTCATATAGAAAACAAATTGTAATAATATTTCACAATATTTCCATTATTTTTATTTAATAAGGACAGCCTTGGTGAGCAGCAGAGGCTTCTTTCAAAAACATTTTTTAAAAATTTGACTGACCCCAATCTTTGGAACAGGAGTGCACACTTAAAAATCAAACTGACAATATTATATCCCACAGTAACATTTAAATACATCGATATGATGATAAGCACTATTATTATCAGTTTCTGACAATGTACGGTGTTCATTTAAAAACAGCTATAAGTAAGCATTGGCATGTAAGAAAAACCTGTATCCTTATGGCACACCTTGCCATCAGCAATAATAAATAGCTTATTAATAACTGTAAAAATGAAATGCCTCCAAACTGATAAATATGAATTGTGTTATTATCAGTTTACAGTTTACGCCATCTAGCTCATCTAACTTGGAATGAGGATGTAAATAAAAATTCTTAACATTTTATAATCACTCTCATTTGCATACCAAAATCAAATACTGATATACAATCAGATTTTTCAAATGTTAATCAGCCATTTCCCAAAAAAGCCACCATCAGGACCAGGCCATTTTCATTATCAGCTGGTCCTCAATCAAATCAAGCCTCCACACACTTGCTGTGTCATGAACTCTAACATCTGGTTGTAGTTTTACAAATCCATAACTCTGGTGTTTTCAACATGACCTTGATAAGTGCTGTACGGGTACCTGTTTCCTCTCATGTGACCGTCTTCCACTCTCCGGAGCTGAGCGGGAAGCTCTTGAAGTCTTTAGCGTGTCTTTCCGCCTGCACCCTCCAGGTGTGTTCACACAGACGTGATGTAGCCGTTGCAGACGTCAGTCTGTGGATGAGCAGTCTCATGCATCATGATCTGAGTAACAGTGACCCGACGCTTTTTACTGGGGCTCAGATGAGTCTGGGTGTGCCACGTCCATAACCTGCGCTTCAACTCTGCCTGTACCTGAAGGAGGAGAGAAAGTATGGTAACGCTTTACTTGAAGGGGTGTGCATAAGACTGACATGACACCTTCATGATCATGACATGACACATGAATATGAAGGAGGTTTTATGCATGTTTATGACAACAGTCATTAAGTGTCATTCGCTCAATTATGACATTTTAATGCAAATATGACATTGTTTGAGATGTCTTTGTTATGACAACTTGACATAAACCAATACATCATAACCTGTCATAAATATGTCATAAACATGACATAGCAGATTAACTATTAATTATTTTATAACTTAAGAAACCACTTAGCTTAATCGGTTAACATTACATTAAACTGTCATGTGGCTGGTTTTGACATTGGCTGTCATGAGGCCATTATAACTGTGTCATGAATAATTTCTTGACCTCAACTACAGTGGTACAAATTGAATTTGTCATTAAAATGTTATAATGCTCTCATGACAGCTAATGTCAAAACCAACGACCTGACAGTTTAATGTAATGTTAACCCATAAAGCTAGTGGTTTCTTAAGTTTGATCATTAATCTGCTATGTCATGTTTATGACATATTTATGACAGGTTGTGTTGTCTTAGTAATTTCAAGTTGTCATGACAAAGACACTGACAGGTTATCAAGGTGACATAACAAAGACATCTCAAACAATGTCATATTTGCATAAAAAATGTCATAATTGAGCGAATGACACTTAATGACAGTTGTCATTGTTATGTTCTGTGATTTATGTTCATGGACTGCAATACTGAACCAGTCCGCTAGGGGCGGAGAGACAGAATTGTATGTGGGGTTAAAAGTGAGAAAGAAGGAGAGTGAAGTAAAGTTTGGAAATGTTGTAAACAACTCGTCCTGTCTCCTTGTTTATTTTCTTTTCATTACAAGTCTAAATGTTACAAATTTTGGCGACGAGGATGTCTGCATCCGTACCCATGCCTGCATGTTTTCTTCCGACGGTAGGAGAGCCTGCTATACCGTTTTCTACATGGAAGAAAATTTTCCAAAACTACTTACTTGTCATCGGAGCGCGAGGTGATGCATGGCCTGATGCTAGACTTCGTGCAGTTCTTTTACATTGTCTCGGTACGGAGGGCCAGAGACTTTTCTATACGCTGCCAAACGGAGGTACAACTTATGATGAGGCCATGGTGGCACTTGATGCTCATTTCACGCCAAGAGTGAATGTTGTCGCTGCTCGACATAAATTCCGACAACGCGCACAGCACACAGATGAAACCGTAAGTCAATATATAGCGGAGTTACGTCATCTGGCGGTGGATTGTCAGTTCGGAGGAATGGAGGACGAAATGCTAAGGGACCAACTGATTGAACGGGTTTTTCTGGCCGCGGTGAGAGACAGATTGTTACTTGAGCCCGAACTTACATTGGAATGCGCTTCTGCGTTAGCGTTGCAAGTCGAATCGGCAGTACAAAATGCTACACTTCTTTCAACTACTGGTTCATCTCCTGCCCAGGTTCAAGCCATCTCGAGGACAAAGGCCAGTTTCAAAAGAGGTAAACAAAAGTATGAAAAAATGCCAGTACAAACTGTGAAGCCAAGACTTCAAATAAAAGACGCTGTTTTCGCTGTGGATCAAATACTCACTTGGCCAACGCACACACTTGTCCTGCTGCATCGGCCACATGTCATCAGTGTGGAAAGAAAGGACATTTTGCAAAGGTATGTAAATCTGCTGTTGTCAGAGAAGTGGTGGTGCCTGAATTGACTGTACTGTGGGTAAATCAGTCTCATGACAAAATTCGTTGCCAAGTACAGTTGGAAGCACCGCAAGGAAATAAAATACCACTTGAATTGATTGTTGATACAGGATCAAGTGTGTCCATCCTCCCAGAGACCCTGTTCATGAAACATTTTGCAAATTGTGAGCTGAAGGAACCTCAAGTGAGGTTAGTCACATACTCACGTGAACCCTTACCAACCTTAGGCTGTTTCACTGTTCCTGTGTCGCATGATGGTGTTGCAACCACTGCAAATTTCTATGTGGTCAAAACGGGCTCACCACTTTTGGGCATGGATTTAATTAAAGCCCTAAACTGTCACATTGTGGGAGATAGGATTGTCACATTATCGGACCCTGCTGGTTCACCAGTGCTAGAAATATGTAATACAGCAACCAGCTCACCAGGATGTGTCAAAGGATTCGTGCACAAAGTGCAGATTGATGAGACTGTGAAACCAGTGCAGCACAAACTACGCAGATTACCGTTGAGTGTACGGGAGGAGGTTTCCAAGGAAATTAATCGCTTACTGAGAGACGGAATAATTGAAAAGATTGATGCTTCGCCATGGGTGTCACCAATCGTCGTAACCAGAAAAAAGTCTGGAGAAATTCGTGTGTGTGGATTTGAGAGAGCCTAATCGAGCTGTAATTACTGACTGCTACCCACTGCCTCATATGGAGGATCTTTTCACAGAGCTTAGAGGCGCTACGGTGTTCTCCCAAATCGATTTGCAAAGTGCATACCATCAACTTCCTCTTCATGAGGTGAGTCAAAACTTGACGGCTTTCATCACACACGATGGGTTATTCAAATTCACAAAGGTTCCTTTCGGGTTGGCTTCGGCGCCCTCCGCCTTTCAGAAAATGATGAAAACTGTACTTGAGGGTTTACCAGGAGTACAGAACTACTTAGATGACCTCATCGTGTATGGCCAAAACAAAGCCACCCATGACTCAAATTTACGGGCAGTGCTGACTCGACTCACAGACATTGGTCTGAAACTTAACATAAAGAAATGCAAATTCAGCCAGAGTAGGATTCGGTATCTAGGCCATGACATCTCAAAAGAGGGACTACATCCTAACCCTGACTCAGTTGAAGCCATTGCAAAGGCACCTGCACCAACCGACCTACCTTCATTACGGTCCTTCTTAGGTCTTACGTCTTGGTTTAGCAAGTTCATCCCGAACTATGCTATGGTAGTAGACCCTCTGCGGGAGATACTCAGATCATCGCAGAATGGGTTTATATGGACAGAAGCAGCTGAGGTGAGTTTTCGAGGACTAAAGCAGCTGTTAGTCCACAGCCCAGCCTTAGCTTTATTTGACCCCTCCTTACCAACAATTGTGTCCACAGATGCTTCCGATTACGGCATTGGAGGTGTCATCACTCAAATGTACCCAGATCAGACAGAGCGTACAATAGCATTCGCTTCTCGTACATTGACGCCAGCTGAAAGAAAATACAGTACAGTTGAAAAGGAAGCATTAGCGTGTGTCTGGACAGTGGAACGTTGGAGGACTTACCTTTGGGGCAGGAAATTTACACTGAAGACGGACCACCAAGCACTGACCACATTACTGGCCACCAGAGGAATGAACAGAGCAGGAATGAGGATAGCGCGCTGGTCAGCCAGACTCCTGTGTTTCAACTACAATCTGGAGTACAGACCAGGTAAAACAAATTGTGTTGCTGATTGTTTGTCACGCTTACCATTACCCGATTCAGATGCTGGTCAGGGAGAGGAATTAGGCCTGGTGGCAGAGCTTTCAAAGGACCTTTCAAGAGCCATTCCTATGAAGGAACTCCTGGAAGCATGCGAATCTTGTCCAGAGTTGTCCAAGCTGCATGCCCAAATCACACAAGGCTGGCCTAGAACACAGAAACAAGTGGATCCAACGATCGGGGCATACTTTCAGATCAGGCATGAACTTGCTGTGGATGATAAGTATATTTTGAGAGGGCAGAGACTAGTTGTGCCAGTTGCTTTGCGCTCTAAATTCATTCACTTAGCACACGAGGGGCACCAGGGAATGGTACGAACTAAGCAACGGCTAAGAGACTTGTACTGGTGGCCTCGTATGGACTTTGATGTGCATTCAACCATTGCTTTTTGTTCTGCCTGTCAGTCCTGTGACAAAACCGCCCGGACGTGTCCAGCTCCATTGCAGCCAGTGGACCTGCCAGATGGTCCCTTTCAGAAAGTTGCAATAGACATTGTAGGACCTTTTGAGAGAGCCACACAGGACTGTCGGTTTGCTATTACGATGGTGGATTATTATAGTAAGTGGCCGGAGGTTGCATTTACCTCAAATGTTACAACCAACACCGTTACAAAGTTTCTAGCATCTGTGTTTGCGAGAGAAGGTAACCCACTCACCTTAGTCAGCGATAACGGTCCTCAGCTAACTTCTTCTGCATTCGCTGATTTCCTGGCTGAAAGAGGAATAAAACACATTCGCTGCAGTGTTTACTGGCCCCAAGCGAACGGTGCTGTGGAGAGATGGAATCGAGTTTTAAAGAACTGCATCCAAGTAGCTGAAATGCAACAACTTCCATGGAAACAAGCAGTCACAGATTTCCTCTTGAACTACAGAGCTACACCGCACGCAACCACAGGCGTATCACCTTTTGAACTGTTAAGAGGGAGGAAGATGCGCACAAAGCTAAACACTCTGTTAACCACAACAGTTCAGGGTGAGAAAGTGACGATGGGCATACGTGACCGTGTACAGCGGGTTCAGCAAAAGATGAAACTGTACACCGATAAGAAACGTGGAGCAAAACCACCACCCTTCAAGTGTGGAGATCGGGTACGTGTAAGAAAACCTATGCATGTACCAAAGGCTGGAAGGAAATTCACTGTTCCAATGGTAGTGAATAAGAAACTGGGACCAAGCACCTATGTCTTGAGTGATGGGAAGAAATGGAACGCGGCTCACTTGTCTCTGGTTCCAGAAAACACTCAAATTGCATTAGAGAATGCTCAGGTTAACCCTGGAACAGAAAATATTGTGCATGAGCCAGTTAAGAGTACACGGGTTAGACAGCCCCCTCTATGGTTAAAAGACTATGCTACAGAGTAAAGGTAAACGAAAAGAAAAGAGTGAATGAAAGAACACTAGTGTTGTAGTACGGAAGTAACTGAAAATAGATGGTGAATGTGTTCATGTGTTTATGCATATGTTAGTTAATCGATAGGTTCTAAGATACAGAAGTAAAATGTATGGGTTAAGGGCATAATTCATAAGTGGATGGAAATTGGACTGAATAATCCCACTTGTTAAGAGTCTTTCCTAAAAGAAAGAGGGGAATGTTATGTTCTGTGATTTATGTTCATGGACTGCAATACTGAACCAGTCCGCTAGGGGCGGAGAGACAGAATTGTATGTGGGGTTAAAAGTGAGAAAGAAGGAGAGTGAAGTAAAGTTTGGAAATGTTGTAAACAACTCGTCCTGTCTCCTTGTTTATTTTCTTTTCATTACAAGTCTAAACGTTACAGTCATAAACCTGCATAAACCCTCCTTCATATTCATGTGTCCTGTCATGATTATGAAGATGTCATGTCAGTCTTATGCACACCCCTTCAAGTAAAGTGTTACCGAAAGTATTGCTCACACTTAATGCTCCTCTAGTCAACACTTATTGCCGAAATCTGGGCAATCAGTTAACAGATTTCACAGAAAATCGCGTTGTGTAGAAAAAGCCCTGTTCGGACCGGACTAGATTTCATGGAGGACGGGATTCAATATCATGTCCGAATCTGCCATGTCAGTGTTTTTCTCACACAACGACTTAAGTAAAAATTCCAGGGCAAAATACCAACACTTACTGTAAACTCAAAGATCCTCTGAGAAATCTAATCCTGTCCGAATGCGAATGTCTGTGATTGCAAATATTGTATTATAGCCCAGAAAGCACACATATGTCTCCAAGATGTCTTATAAAGAGCACTTTGTCTGGAAAGCATCTGCTGTGTACAAACATCTGATAAACATCTTTAAAAAGTCAGTTTAAACATCTTAAAGACGTTTTCTAAGCGTCTATACCATATATATATATTTTATCAATATCATGTTGAAGTTGTCCATTATGGGAATACTTACTTCTCCATTGAGAAAACAATAAAGAAGTGCCACCACAAAGCCCTGGGGAAAGGGGGGAAAAAAGACTTAAATCAAGACTTAAAGGAATAAAATCAGACATTTCCGCATTATTGAATCTGTAAAATAATACTTAGCCGATCATCTCTTCATAAAAGATGAATTCATCTGTACCTGGAAGGAGCCCAGGCCGAGTTCGATGTAGAATCGGATAATTTCACCCGTGTTTTCTGGCAGAAAGGCAAACACAGTGTAGTGCATCCCAAACAGAGGAATCAGAAACAAGGTGGACTTGGCCAGTCTCCTGTATGATGATCAAAGATAACTATGAGTCAGTATTAATGCCATCACACAAACAATTCAGAGCACATCTACTAGATGTACAGTATTATGCGTGTAACATCTTTAGCATATGGTAATTTATTTCATTTAAGAACAGTACATATTACAGTATAAACTACATATTTTGTAACATGCATTAAAGCAAAGTTTTATTTAATTTAAAGAGGCCATATTTTGCTCTTTTTACAAGTCTTACTCTTGATTTTGGTTTTGGGCTCTGTAGAATAGGTTTTCATGCTTGAAAAACTCATTATTTTCCCATATCTGACATTGTTGCAGCACCTCCCTTCTCAGTCTGTCAGTAACGCTCTGTTTAGTTCCTGTCTCTATGAAGCCCCTCCTTCTGAAAAGCACAGTGTGCTTTGATTGGCCGGCTGGACCAGTGTGTTGTGATTGGTCAACTGCTTCGAGTGTGTTTGGGAAGTGTTTGGGAACACACTACTAATGCAACTGAACCACGCCTCATCCCTTTATTTTGATATAGAGAATAACCAAAAGTTAGTGCGTTCATAAATGCTGAGGTTGCAAGGTCAAACCCAGTGCCAGTATGAAGTTTAATCGCACATAATCAAATTTGAAAGACGGATCTGAACTTTTAGAAACTAATAAGCCTTCGGATAATGAGCTAAATGCAATTTCTCTTGGTCTTTGCATATGCATCGCATTATCAGTAGGTACAGGTATTGAGACACAACGGGGCCTTAAATAGAAACTCACCTTTGCATGAACCGTCAAGCGAAATATTATTCATGCATGAAGCACGACCTGGCAGCATGTAAAGCCGTATTCTAATGAACAGACATTTTGCAGCGAAATGAAGATATGCACTTCACTCGCATTAACACATGCCATCTGTTTGATTCTAAACTGGTTTCATCTGGAACAGCATACATAATATGTTTACCTTTTAGGGTTTCCATCATGGTATCATTTTATGGACTTAGTTTTTAATTTTGATTCAATTTTATGAATTAAACAGCTTGTAAACACTTTTATTCTAGAAAAAATTGAAACAACACTTTAAACATAACAGTATTATGCAATCATTTAAGTCGTTTGTCCTTATAAGCAACCTTTTTGGCATAAAGTATTCTTTAAAACTGAGTCAAGAAACTATAGCACACATACTCTCTCTCACTCTCTTTATATATATATATATATATATATATTCTCTATATAGAATCCCATTTAATGTGCATTTTAGGCAAACACTTTTTTCAAGAAAATGTCAAAATATAGTGTTTATTTGACTTCAGCAAATTCTGTAGTGAAATATTCTCTGCAGTTTAACAAAATTATGATTACACTCAATATGTTTTAATGAAAGACAAGAAAACTGGCTGGTAAGTAATTATGAGTGATATAATGTTATATGCTGTTTGCTGGAAGACTCAAATGAAATAATCAACTATTTGGTTTGACAAAAGCAAATATTTAAAAGAAAAAAAAGATTGTTTTTAATTCATCCACCATTAACAGGTCTGGCAAAACGTTCATTTTCAGCACTTCTTGCACATTATTATTTGACTCACATGAAGTGACCTGTGTCATTGCCACCAACTCCAGGACTTTTCAATTTCTGAACCAAGATTCGAATCACATTTAGGAAGATGATGATATTAGCCTGTCAGACAGAGAAAGAGCTACAATAACAGTAGAGCAGGTACATTTTCATGTTCATAATATATATATATATGTTTGAATGAATGCTATAAAATGTGAATAAATGTTGTCAGTCTCAAAATCTGACATACAACAACATCACAACTCACAAACAGTGATGCTGTGATCGGTCCTTTAATGATCCACCAGATATTCATATTATCTGTGTCATCCCAACATCTGCAAACATGAGAAAATGATTTATTGTAATTCAAGTCATGTCAGAGATGGAACAAGCTCTACTTTTTGATTAAATATTACAAACACAAACATTTCTTCAATAAATAATTCACAATCAGACCCGGAAAGTGCATTAAGAAAGTAAATAGGGTCATTTTTGTTCAGTTTCGTGATAATTTTAAAGTTGAAGATGTGACATACCCTCTGTTATCAAAGAATTGTCTGGTCAACACCCACACAATCAGCACAACTGATGGGACGCCTATACACACACACACACACACACACACACACAAAAACAAACAGACAATACATACTTTCTCCAAATCCACAGAATTGCAACTTGCAGGTTTTTAACATATCATTTGTTTCAGAACAGATTTAACAGATCTCAATAATGTGACACACAGCGGGGGGAACGTGAGTTATGTAATCAGATTACTTTTTCAAGTATCTAGTATTTACTTGATACTGCACTTACACAAAAACAGATTCAGTATTCCTCAAAATAATTAAAAACAGTCAAATGCAAACTCAAAATACTTTATGTATTTAATCTCACTTTATTGACCAATGTCTTTGCTGCTGACCTTCGATGATCCTATTCAATTATACTAATATGCAAAAAACGACTTTAGATAAACATCAAATTTCTTTATTGCTGAAGTAAGAGTGTCGAACTTCTCCTGTGTCCTATTCTTCTGAAATCCAGAATGGCAGCACAGCTGAAGTTTGTTTGAGCCTCTACTGTACAGCCATGAATCTGCATTTCCTTCAGCCTGAGGCTTATTCATTTCACGTTTGGTGCGAAATGGCCTTTACATTTGCAAAAAAAAAAAAAAAATTTGTTAAAATTAAAAAACAAACAAGCAACCCCAGCCCAGGTGAGAAAAAGTAACGTAACACATTACTTTCCATAAAAAGTAACTAACATTAATTCATTATTTTTTAGGGAGTAAAGCCAGGTTGACACTGTAAAATGTTGGCCATGATTTGACTGTCCGAGAACAATTTTATGAATCCTAAAAATCTGAAGTCTTTAATCGTTAGTCTGACATGTTTACTGACAGCCGATTAATGACCATTGCGATCAAATTTTGCCTCCGACAAACTAACCGTCCCGCATATAAATCATAGACAGTATAAGAAGTGGACAGAGCCATCTCATTGGAACTCAGTTGAGACAGTTGAAGCCCATTTTTAGCGATTTTTGAGCACTTCCGTTCCTGACGCGCAGACTCAAACCGACTCAAACTAAGCTTGATGACGTGAGCAACCTGTCTGACAGACGTGAATCTTCTAGTAGCTGTGCGTGAAAATGGCCAACGTTAATCTTGCAGAGACGGGGAACTTGAGCAAAGAGTTCTTTGGCGTGAGTGAGCAGGAGTAAGTATTCTGATTAATTAAATACTGATTCATTTGTATAGTATTTATTTTAAAATGTGCTTCTCCCTTGACGGGACGTCCCCCCGATTGCCTGCAAGCTTCTCCTCCTGTCTGTACGGTAACTTCTGTACAGCGCGACAGAGAGTCGAGTGGTTATGACGCAATCGTTAGCCTATTTTTACTAAATCTGTTTCTACGGGGCCATAATGTAACATAGAAGGTAATGGAGCCCTTTATACATTGTCGTGTTTCTTTAGAAATAAATAATGGACAAATGGAGTCTTTAAACGCCTCAGATGTAAAGTTATTCGCTGTCAAAGTGACGCCAAAATGAATGGGAGTCAATGGAAATGCTAACGCAAGTGAAGTTCTGCTACAAGATGGCGGCACCCGGCCGGCTTCAACTTCCGGTCGATGGATTACCCCTTTGATTTAAATGCAGCTCACGTCACTGAACGTGTCACGGATTGATGATGTAAAACTTTCTTCTTGCATGCGTCTGTTTTTACCGTGTCTTGACATGGGTGGGAACCCGGGTCAACACAATATTATTAAGCATTACTTTTAAAAGTAACTTTCCCCAACACTGGTGACACAAACTGCTCATTTGTATACTCATAGTTCCTCTAGCACTCAAATCCTGGCAGACTGCCGGAGATCTTTTAATCTGATTACACAGACTTTCTCCTGGAAGCCATTTTTTTTCAGGATGTACCAACCCCATCCTATCAGAATGTACCACCAGAAGTACTTCCTCTGCGAGACGAAGGCAAGGGCGAGGAGCGTCTGCAGGTACATGCCCTCCACCAGCAGCCAGAAGTAATTACTGAGGATGCAGAACTGGAAGAAGGTTACGGCAGTCTTACACGCTATCTGTGAACAACAACACACACAGGTCCAGAATGAGAGCACACCCCTCACCTGCACTGGAACACGTCAACAACCTCATTTAAACATGAAAAGTTTGCTAAATAAAATTAAAAAGATCAAATAAAATATTATTAATAAAAATGTAACTTAAATAACCATAACCCTCGCGTTGTTTTCCAGTCTTTTTGACCTGGATAGGGCTTTCTTTTTCTTGAAAATGCTAGTTAATGTAATCGCGGTTGACTAAAGGCCTGTTCACACCAAGAACGATAACTATAAAGGAAACCATAACAACAACTACATTAGCGTCCACACCAATGAACGATAACGCTCTGTTTATTCTAACCGTACTGCAGTTTTGTCTTCTTTAAATACTTGAACTCTTTACAGTGGAATGGATTCTGATTGGCTGTCAACCTTTATCCTTCATCAGCTGGAAGAAAAAAAACGTTCTGAAAGTGATTCCAATGATATAGTTTCTCTGTGCCGTTATAGTTGTTGTGTGAACTATGCTATTCTTTTATATTTAGAACTATATCTTTATCATTATCGTTATAGTTATCGACCTGCTGCCTTAAAACTTCGCTGACTTTGCTTGCTAACAACTTCTCAAACGTTTTTTGATCATTTTGACACTGGTGTTCCCAGGCAAAAATGATAAATCTTTTGTTATGCTATGTTATTGTAGCCTGGATGCCAGCCCAAACCCCGCCCACAACTAATGTTATTGCCAAATATGGAATTCAATCTTTTTATCAACTTGTTTTCTTTCAATTAGCTCAGGTTTTGTATTTCTATTTGGAACTGATTTAGGCCTCATTGATCTGAGCTTATGCACCTCAGTTTTTTTTTAGCTGAATAAGCTTGAGTGAACTTTTTTTAATAGTATATAAATAATTCTAAAATAAAATTTTATATAAGTGAAGTCTTATAATTTAATTTAAAGGACTCAAATTCAAATGTCTATCCTACAGAGCATTAGCCTGGTTAAAACCAGACCATTCTCAGTTGTAACTGAGTTATGGTCTGGCAAAGCGTCATAGACAAATCATTTCCAGAGGGGCGTCACCAACGGACGTCGTGGATAGACCTAAACCCAATCAGAGCGATGAAGGAGATGACGTATGCAGAGCGGCAGAAACATCTCCGAGTGTTGTTCTTTGCTCGGTTTTTAACTAAAAGGGAAACGTTCAAATCGCTTAAAACAGACGCGATAGCTGATTCGAACGAGTGATGTTCAACTGCGGCATCCATCTTTGTAATGTAGGCTACAAAATCTGCTTCAAAATCCCAGCGCTGTCGTCATCGTGTAAAGCCCGCCCCAACGTTTCTGATTGGTGCCTCGATTTTGGCGGATTGGAAATGGGCTTGAATGAGCTCTTTGCCAGACTAACTTTCAGAGCAAATCTAAATTTGCCGGAAGTTGTCTGGGTTTTCCCAGGCTAACAGAGCATGAAAGATCAGGAACAACTTTTCCCTTTCATTTCCAATAGGCAAATAAAAAATATATCTTCCATACAAAGATCTAACTTAACCAACCAGCTTCCAAGACATTTGATGGAAAAAGACACAAGACTGGGTCGGCTAATTAATGTTTTTTATGAGGCAATAAGCTACACATCCCTTGAGTAACAGAAACAATGATGTGCAATGAAAAACTATATTGATTAAAAATTAACTATATAGCCTATTACTGCAAAATAATCAAATATCGTACAATAAGTAGTTTAAGAGTTCAGGGATTCAAGGGATTCACATCTTGCCATGCAGTTTTTGATTGGTTTTTCTCTTCCGGATAATAGTTCAATCATTCACATTAAAATGACACATTTATGCATTTAGCAGATGCTTTTATGCGAGTTAAAGTGGCTTTTTGATAGGAAACAGAGACATTCGTACAGAGACATTCTCACTCACCGTGGACATTAAACAGTGGTCCTGAGTTTCATCTGAGAACAGAACGGCGTCTTTGATGAAGACTGCACTAGCCCGCAGGATGAAGGAAACAAACAGATTGATGTGTATGTAGTTTCTGGTACAGTGAAACTTCCTGTAATGAACAGAGCACGATGGGTACATCATTTAATATAATATATGTTATTCTGAAGATTGCATACAGAATATTTACAAGATATTTTCATTCACCCATGATTCCATTTTGTGTATAATAAATACCTTTTGGATATCATAAAGATAATATATAAGTGTTACCTGAAGCATGTGAATATGATAACGGCTGTAATGAGTGATATAAGCGATGTTGCGTATCCTGCAGTGTACAGCTGTTTCAAAGTCGATAAGTAAGTTGTCTGGAAAATAAAGGCCAAGTCTGAGAGAAAAGTAATTTACATCAATAGACAAACTGCATCAAGTCAAACTATTCCACCAGATTTAAATTTCATTATGTGTCAGTAACCAATACCTTAGATTTTGATTAAAACTGTCCAAAGGAAAGCCCTTCTAAATCTTAAAGGCCAAAAAATGACTACTATGTATATTCTGTGTTAATTTTTTTTTTTTTTTTTAGCATGAAGAGGTCGATGACCTGCTTAGTTTTAAAATAATCCTAAAAGAAGAACAGGAAACAAAAAGCAGGACGTCAAAGCATTGTGTAAAAACAAAACATAGCGACCACTGGTGGTCATCATGGGAAGTTCAAGTACACACACATGCACTGAAACTAAGTCATTCATCAGACTGAGCCACTCCACATAGCTAATGTTTTTAGAAATATGGTCATTGCTATGCTGTCAATCATGCATGTATTATAGGAATATATTCACCACAGTCCCCGACTCTGAATCATCTTCAAATACACAGGCCTCGTCATATGGAGGATATGGGTCACTCCAGCCATGAGCCGTGCAGTTCCTGTATATAAAACCTGCCGAACAGACAGCAAAGAATTATGGTTTAAAGATAACAAAACAGCACCGTTTGTTCCGGACGGCCTTTGTAAAATTTCACTGAACTTTATTGCTCGAGAAACCCAATTAAAGGGCTTTTGTCTTGATCACAATGAATAGTCATTCAAATCTCTCATACGCATGAGTGCCAAATAAGTCTCAAGTTTGTGAGTTGTTACAGACTCCTGCTGATCAGACCGCATTTCAGAGAGAAGTAAGCACAATTCCCATTTCATAACACCTCCAAAAATACCAACAGAAGCCTGGAGAATGCTTAGGGGAAAACATGATCACTCGAACTGGGATAAAACCTGCTGCTGGTTGCTTTCCTGTGCAGAGCAGGTGTTTTTCAGCCCCCATATGTGCATCACGGCTTCACCTGCTTTACCCTGAGCATCTGAACAGCAGTGTGAGTCCCAAACAGCAACTACTTTCAAACTATAAGCCATAGAATAAAGCTGGAAATTAATAACAACATGGAATCAAACAGACACATTTTCATGTTCGGGTTTCATGTTTTATGGGGAGTTTCCATAGACATGTTGATTTTTATATACTGTACAAACAGTATATTCTATCCCCTAACTCTAAACCTACGCCTAAACACAACCCTCACAAAAAACGTTCTGCATTTTTACATTTTCAAAAAACACCATTCTGTATGATTTATTTTCCTCATGGGGACCAAAAATTTCCCAACAAGGGCAAGGATTTCGAATATTGGCTTCTTTGTGGAGACATTTTTTCCCCATAATTTAGGGTTTGCCAGGAACACACACATACACACACACACACACACACTAACTTTTTGCCACACTTGCTAAAGGAAGATGATTTAAGAAAATGTACCGGCCATAAATATTTTTTACCAGCCCTGAAACATAGATTAATCCTTATTAAAGTTACAAAAGTTATTCAGTCAAGAGCAATGAGTGATTGTTGTTTGATTACGTAACATTAAAATCAAACAGCAGCAGGAATATTAGGCTGGTGTCACTTCGAGAGCTAATGCACAGATCAAATATATTATTACATATGCGTTTTATTTCTCAACTGTTTACATTCACTTAAGACAATTTTCCGTTGTTAAAATATACAGTATATGTATACGTGTGTGTGTGTGTGTGTGTGTGTGTGTGTGTGTGTGTGTGTGTGTGTGTGTGTGTGTGTGTGTGTGTGTGTGTGTGTGTGTGTGTGTGTGTGTGTGTGTGTGTGTGTGTGTGTGTGTGTGTGTGTGTGTGTGTGTGTGTGTGTGTGTGTGTTACGTAATATGGCAGACACCATATTTCAAAATGAGGATAGAAGGCATAGAGTACAGATGTACACACACACACACCATTTGAAATATGGTGTGAGTGTGTGAGTGTGTGTGTGTGTGTGTGTGTGTGTGTGTGTGTGTGTGTGTGTGTGTGTGTGTGTGTGTGTGTGTGTGTGTGTGTGTGTGTGTGTGTGTGTGTGTGTGTGTGTGTGTGTGTGTGTGTGTGTGTGTGTGTGTGTGTGTGTGTGTGGCTGTGTGTGGCTGTGTGTGTGTGTGGCTGTGTGCGCTTGCGTGTGTGTACATCTGTACTACATCTATTGTCTGCCCTGATTAAGATCTGCTGGTAAGTGTCTACTGTCATCTGAACATCCTGATCTGTAAGCACTCCAGAGGATTTAAAACATTTACAAAACCAGACTAGATTTAATCCTACATGTCCGGATTTAGGGGAAAAGCAATCACACAGATGTGATATATACCACCTGATGTTTAATATTTAGTGGCAGTAACAGATGTTACAATTCCTTGTTGAAGAGAATTTTGATGAAATTATGGATTATAAAAATGCTGTATTGTTTGACAAGCATATTTGTAAAAAAACAAACAAAAAAAACATCCCCAACATGTTTTTTTTTATGATAACACTGACAAGCAGCGAAGGAAACGCTGACAAGAGTTAAAGATTAATCTTATATAAGGATTAGGTCAAATTGGGCTGGGTAAAATGATCGACTTTCACATTCATCACAATCCTCATTTGGTGTCGATATCGATTTTAAAATCCAAAGATCGATCTTGTTTCCTTCACAGCTTTTCATCGCTGCCAAACTGTTGCAGCTGAATCTACAGCACTGGCAAAGTGTTATATTTCACCAGAGTCTGCAGTTCGAATTAAATTATGATTATGTTCTATGTAAACAGTTTTGTTTTGTTATGCCTTTCACACAGAATGAAAATGAAAAGAACTGAGCCATGTTCAAATTTTTGGCTATTTATAAAGCACTTTCTTTTTTCGGACATGCGACAAGAAAAAATAAAATAACCTCATTTTAATATAGTAGAGCACTAAATATCTGCCCAAAATCTCTGTCATCTTTTATTTCCATATATCCAGTTATGGCCAACGAAAATTATTCATGTATGCAAATGGATTAAGTAAATTTCCGCTTTAGGAATTTAAATTGATTGCATGCCATGAAATTAAGCAGTGAAAAAATGTTCATGAATTGTGCTGCATTAGCAAATTTAATTAACTAAATTTAGCCAGCTGCAAAAATCCATTCTTGAGTGCATATACATACACAGGTCACCGCAGGTCAAGCTGAATCCCAATATCTCAAGGGCTCTGTGACTTTCTGTCTGCATATTCAACATTTCACAGAATCATAACCCTGTAACTATAAAGACTACTGACCCGTACAATATTACAACCCCAAACTACACTATGACAGCTTTCAGCTATGGTTATTGCACACCAGCCTTAAAAAAAAATAAAAAAAAATCATCTGCTGCTGTTTGACAAACTTCAAGCGAAATGAGCCTGAAGCTCACACCAGCTGATGTTAAAGAATGACAGCAATGACAAAGAGCACAAGAAATGATAGATAGATAGATAGATAGATAGATAGATAGATAGATAGATAGATAGATAGATAGATAGATAGATAGATAGATAGATAGATAGATAGACAGACAGACAGACAGACAGACAGACAGACAGACAGACAGACAGACAGACAGACAGACAGACAGACAGACAGACAGACAGACAGACAGACAGACAGACAGACAGACAGACAGATCTGACCTTGAGTGTTAAATATATGCTGGAAGACTTCCGAACAGGACACATTGATTAGTTGTCCAGAATTGGCTGTATGCCAGCAGCGGATCCCATCCCAATCCGTCCCACAACCTGAGACACAGAGGAACTGTCATGACATAGACAAAATCCCCCTAACAAAAGCTGTCTGGACAACAATATATAAATATATTTTAAGTTTTAATTGAAATTATTGCTAGGGATATCAGTGTCACTGGATAATGGTAGGGACACGTCCCTAGCGTCCATACAAAAATTCTACGCCCCTGCAATACAGTATATGATAAATTCATTCTATCACTCTTCCTTTCCTAACATTTCCATAGTCAGAAGTTTCCAAACTGTATGATTGACACAAAATGATTCAAGTGAGCTAGTGATTGATCCACCTACATTAACAGAGCAGCACCAGCTTGCCCAGTCAGCCCACATTATCTTATAGACAGGGTTAATTTATATCCAAGTCTAACAGTCTTTTGTCATGCTAACATGTGCAGGCCAGTGATTGCATTGGATGAACTCTTATTGACCGCTCATCCAACTGCATGTAAAACATTTGTTTCTGTTTGCTGCCTAAAGGCATATAAGGGCCGTAATTAAATGCAACTTTTTGACAACTATTAGTGTCCTTAATATAATGTCACTGAATATTCATTAGCTAGACATGCATCCAGTTTTCAAAGGTCAGTAAGCTTCTGCTCACTAGTCAATATCTGCATGCATTCATGTCATACAAATTACAGTCTATTAAAACGATGAAAAGCTGGAACAATCAAATAGAGTAATAAAGAATGTGAAAGGTTGTAGTATAACAGGGTCTTTAAGACACTCAAGACTTCTGTTGCAAAGTGACCTAGATGTCTATGGCTATTGATAGCAACATGAATTTTTTATACTCAGTTTGGGGGTATCACAATTCTTTGAGGGGGAAAAACATAAGGTAAAATACATCAAGGGCAAGGCTTCCTTGCAAATTAACTCATGAATATGGTTTGTGCAATTGCAAGTCTTCAACAGATTTCAGACACTTGGCAGATATACATGGTGGCATGGATACTATCTGGAAGATGCTTTCTCAATTTAATGAAGCCATTTTTTTAGACAATTAAGTGTACATGGCTGTCATTGTGCCACACTGTAGTGGGGAGTTAGAGTCACCATGGAGCGTGAGGTCTTCCCACACTGACTGTCCGTCCATTCCTCATTCAGTCAGTGGAAGCCCCAGTCCTCGATGACCGGGAATCGGAGAAGGAAGAACAGATCCGCCTCATTTTCCGCCCACTGAGTGGTGGCCAAGCCCATTGCAGCTTCTCCTGAGGCACCGGAGACCACTGCAGCGCTCTATTAGGATGCGGAGTGCATTGCAGCTTCCCAGGTGGCAGCCGTCTATTTATCACCTTGCCCTCGCAAGCGCTGGAGAAGGAGGGGTCCTATCGCTTCCCCAAATCCAGTTGTCCTGGAGGACCTGACTTCGGTGGTTCCGAATCAAGTGGTCCTGGAGGACCCGACTCTATTGGTCCCAAGTCTGATGGTCCTGGAGTACCTGGCTCCAGTGGATCCAAGTCCGATTGTCCTGGAGGAACTGACTTTGTTGGTCCCAAGTCCAATGGTACTGGAAGACCTGACTCAGGTGGTCCCAAGTCCAGTGTACCTGGAGTACTTTACTCCGGTGGTCCCAAGTCCAATCGTCCTGGAGGAACTGACTCCGGTGGTCCCAAGTCCGATGGTCCTGGAGGACCCGACTCCAGTGGTCCCAAGTCCAGTGTACCTGGAGTACCTAACTCCGGTGGTCCCAAGTCCAATCGTCCTGGAGGAACTGACTCCGGTGGTCCCAAGTCCGATGGTCCTGGAGGACCCGACTCCAGTGGTCCCAAGTCCAGTGTACCTGGAGTACCTAACTTCGGTGGTCCCAAGTCCAATCGTCCTGGAGGAACTGACTCCGGTGGTCCCAAGTCCGATGATCCTGGAGGACCCGACTCCAGTGGTCCCAAGTCCAGTGTACCTGGAGTACCTAACTCCGGTGGTCCCAAGTCCAATCGTCCTGGAGGAACTGACTCCGGTGGTCCCAAGTCCAATCGTCCTGGAGTACCTAACTCCGGTGGTACCAAGTCCAATCGTCCTGGAGGAACTGACTCTGGTGGTCCCTGAGCTCCCTGTCATGGGCCATCCCTGAGCAGCCTGCTCTTCCTGTCTGTCCCGTCATGTACCTTGCCGTCATTATGTGTGTCTGGGCTGCATACACCTCTCTGTTGGCTACTTCTGCTCTAGTCTCTCCTGAGCCACCTAATCTATCAGTCACGGCCATGGAGGCCATTCAGTCCTGGCGTGGCCAAGAGGTTAGTCTTCACCTTTTACTCCATGGTTGTCCTGTGTCCCTGGGCAGCGCACGCTCCATTCCTGTTTGCCAGCCAGAGTCCACTCCAGAGTCCCCTCGAGAGTCCTGCTCTGTCTTGCTTGTTAGATGAGTTCTTGATGCTTGATTATAGGTTTTTTGTTTTGTTTTTTGTTTTGTTTTGTTTTTTTAGATCAGTGTACCATTGTTAACAAAGGCAAAGTGCATCCCTCCTGGGTTATGTTATGGCCTCATACAATCTTATAAAGGTCTTATGGCTCATCAGGCTGGAAAACCCTGTTTGTAAGCTTCATTTTTTAAGAGAATACTGCATTTCGCCCTAAAGACATAGACTGCTTTGTCTCTGTATGTTCCTGCTGAGGGGAAGACATGTCATTTTAAAGTCTGCAGGTCAGAGTCGTTCAGACATACAGTCTGTGTAGGGATCAGCAATTTAAAAATGCTGCAGACTGAATAAAAGCGCTTGTCGTGTGACAATAGCCCCAGCACACTTATTTGGAGTTTTTTCCCCCAGTAAATATTGAAATACAAGTTTAATTGGGATTTATTAATTTGCAAATGATGTAATTAATTTGATTAAATTGTTACTGTTTATTATTACTATTATTATCTTAAATCCTGAGGTGAAGCTTTTCTGGTCTGCTGAAGTTTGTTTGAATTCAAACATGGCATATTAGGAAATGTTCTATTAACCAGCATGGAGTCCTAATTTGACTTGAATTGGTAGGTAACAATATTGTTGCATTTTACCTTGTTTTAATGAAAGCTCAAATAAAGCATGTATGAACATATGCTGCAGAAAACAGCAAGAATACCATTTCACACAACCCCCTTTACAACTCACACATTGTCAAGTTGTAAGAACACAGATCTCCGGAGGTTTAAGCTGCCACGTAACATAATTATCATATGTCCTGTGGGTTGAACCATATGTCTGCATTAATCTCATTCAAAAAAGTACTATTCATAGAACTTACGTCTTAGGAAGGAACGTAATCAGAACCCCAATAGAAACTCATTTCAAATAATTAATAACTTTGCAAGTCACTTTTGAGAATTTATGCTTGACTGGTCTAGAGCTTTCAGGGGGGGGGGGGGGGGGGCTTTAATTTAACAATTAAAGTCCTATAAAAAAAGGACAACACTTCAGTAGTAATCCGCTAAAATGACACTACAGAATTGCTCTGTCTTCAAAAACCACAGAACTAATGTGGGTCAATTCTGTAGTTCTGCTAAGTTTACAACCGTTTCCCTCCTTTCCCTCACTATATTCAATTAAAGTAACATGGTTACATTTCTGCATGGTAATTTCATCTTTAGTTAACCAGGCCAAGCTAAGCATGAACACATCAGCTGCTGACACACACACACACACACACGCACACACACACACACACACACACACACACAGAAAGAGTGTGCATTTTTTTATCAGTATGATAAATATATCACTCATTATGTAATGTTTCATCGGTACAACCTTTTTGTTGAGACTGGTTCTTCATTTCTCTCTTCCTATTTTTGATGCAGATCTCTTGGTCTTGGATAAGCTGGGAGATAATAGCACAATCTGGATGGATAGCATGCACCTAATGAAAAAAAAGAGGCACATTAACCAGCATATAGTCTGTACACATACAGTAAGATGTTTGCAGTATGTGGCATTGGTTCATACCAGCTTTTAAAATAATGCAAAAATGTAAAATGATTTCAAAGAAGTCATGCTTCCCATTTTGCCCAATTCCGAATTACATAAAGTCACATAAAGACTTGTTTATTTTCCCCCGAAATTTTTTATTTTTTTTTTTTTATTATCATTTTAAGTCTATCCAAAAGAAGCGTATTGGGATAGATATTAAACAGTTGGTACAGTTTTCCTACTTTGCTAAATATATAGTGTAAAAGAAAACATAGGCCTACAATTTCTAACTTAATAAAATTCTAAATTCCATGTTATGATGGAAATTCCAATATGATTCCTTTTTACTACGCGGGCGTCTTTGTTGTAACCAAATATGTAGGCTATTTTGACAGATGCGCATACTCAGCAATTGTTTGCAGAAATCTGAGCAAGACATACAAATCTAATAGGCAAGTACATTCTGAAAGGAATCTATTAAAAGTATCTTTTTTTTTATATAACGGTCATATGGAGAAAATGTATAACATTAAATACTTACAGCTCTCCAAAAAGTCGCGAATAAGCACAGATGTAGAACCGTCATATTAAAGTCAATGTGATGACCCAAGAAACACGAAATATCCCTGTAACTCCTCCAACAGAGTGATCTGCTCAATTCAGACTCGACAGACTGAAGTCACACTCACAGTCTCTCTCTCTCTCTCTCTCTCTCTCTCTCTCTCTCTCTCTCTCTCTCTCTCTCTCTCTCTCTCTCTCTCTCTCTCTCTTTCTTTCTTCGACAGATGCGCGTGTGCGCGTCCTCATCATGGCTCGTGGAGCGCGCACTGGCAAAATTAACTTTTAAGATGTAACCTAATTTCACAGCTGAATATATAAGCAGCTGTTTGTGGAATGCATCTGGAGAAATGCTGATCTTTTCAGAGATGTGTGGGATTTTGTAGAGGTATAAGCTATGCTTTTGTAGACAAACAATGCTTTATTCATCAATATTTAATATGAGAAAACATCTATTTTTAGTTTGTTTAACAGGGGCAGATGATTCAGGGGAGAGGAAATGTAGTCTGACAAAATGTGAATAATTGAAAACAACATTGGTAAAAAGACAGTGAGCCATTTCTAGGGATTTGACATGGGAAGGCATGGGATTGGTTGGCACAGGGGTTGGTCGGCACAGTTTTCATTCATTGGTGATTATCTCTGGTGGAACAGGCAGTAACATTACACAATAGGTGCAAATGAAAGCTAAGGTTCATCAACAGACATAGAAATGTCCAAAAATGCTTACAAAACAACTAAAATTATGTTGTACTAAAATTACATTTGTTATTATCCCCATAACAAATGCTTGGCAAACGGGGTTGGTTACAGTAATTGTAAGAGAGAAAGCAACTAGAAAACATAATGTTTAACAAACCAAACTAATAACATTTAAACCACATTTGCAATAACTTTTGTGGCTGAGTATTTTTATTTCATTGTGATAAAGTATTTTTTGTGATTTAGTATTAACATTCCTTGCTCTCTTTTAGAAATTAAACAAAAAATCACAATGGTAGACTCCTCCAATTGCCTTATATTACATATTACATATAGACTCACCTAAAGGATTATAAGGAACACCTGTTCAATTTCTCATTAATGCAATTATCTAATCAACCAATCACATGGCAGTTGCTTCAATACATTTAGGGGTGTGCTCCTGGTCAAGACAATCTCCTGAACTCCAAACTGAATGTCAGAATGGGAAAGAAAGGTGATTTAAGCAATTTTGAGCGTGGCATGGTTGTTGGTGCCAGACGGGCCGGTCTGAGTATTTCACAATCTGCTCAGTTACTGGGATTTTCACGCACAACCATTTCTAGGGTTTACAAAGAATGGTGTGAAAAGGGAAAAACATCCAGTATGCGGCAGTCCTGTGGGCGAAAATGCCTTTTTGATGCTAGAGGTCAGAGGAGAATGGGCCGACTGATTCAAGCTGATAGAAGAGCAACTTTGACTGAAATAACCACTCGTTACAACCGAGGTATGCAGCAAAGCATTTGTGAAGCCACAACACGCACAACCTTGAGGCGGATGGGCTACAACAGCAGAAGACCCCACCGGGTACCACTCATCTCCACTACAAATAGGAAAAAGAGGCTACAATTTGCCAGAGCTCACCAAAATTGGACAGTTGAAGACTGGAAAAATGTTGCCTGGTCTGATGAGACTCGATTTCTGTTGAGACATTCAGATGGTAGAGTCAGAATTTGGCGTAAACAGAATGAGAACATGGATCCATCATGCCTTGTTACCACTGTGCAGGCTGGTGGTGGTGGTGTAATGGTGTGGGGGATGTTTTCTTGGCACACTTTAGGCCCCTTAGTGCCAATTGGGCATCGTTTAAATGCCACGGCGTACCTGAGCATTGTTTATGACCATGTCCATCCCTTTATGGCCGCCATGTACCCATCCTCTGATGGCTACTTCCAGCAGGACAATGCACCATGTCACAAAGCTCGAATCATTTCAAATTGGTTTCTTGAACATGACAATGAGTTCACTGTACTAAAATGGCCCCCACAGTCACCAGATCTCAACCCAATAGAGCATCTTTGGGATGTGGTGGAACGGGAGCTTCGTGCCCTGGATGTGCATCCCACAAATCTCCATCAACTGCAAGATGCTATCCTATCAATATGGGCCAACATTTCTAAAGAATGCTTTCAGCACCTTGTTGAATCAATGCCACACAATGGAACACCAAATGCTTTTACTCCACTCCAAAAAGCCACTTTACTTTGTCTGGATCTGTCAGAATGTGGTGATCCTAGTTAAGGACACTTTATGATTAATTGTTTTCCTTTCCATTTTTCAGAGATCAGGGTGGCCGAGTGGTTAAGGCTTAAATGGACAAAAAGCCACATGGGTTCGAATCCCACTCCTACTATAGTGCACTGTGCTCAAAACTGAGGTTGTACATACGGTTTAGCCTTGATTTAATCCATATTCTGAAAAACAGTAGTGTTTAATGCATATGTTGTAGGAACATATCACAGTTGTATTCCACTCCTATTCCACTGCCGCTTTGACCATGACCAGGAGACCATGGAGATCTCAGATCCTAAGAGCACTTAATAGTTAATCGTTTTCCCTTCTATTGATCTATGTTTGAACACTCTTTGTAGACCAGGATGGCCGAGTGGTTAAGGCGTTGGACTTAAGATCCAATGGATAAATGTCCTCGTGGGTTCGAACCCCACTCCTGGTAGTAGCTTTAGTAGACAAGCTCTCTAAACTGAGAGATTTGGTGACAATAACAACAATCTTGGAGTACTGCATGCTCAAAGATGATAGATTCTTGAAAATCAAACACCAAACAGTTTATATAAAATGTCCCTTTGATTAAAAGAAATTTCACAAGACTGCTTATGAGAGATTTAAAACTGCTGTGCATGTCTATTAAAACGAACATTTTGTGTAAGTTTATTCCTGGCAGACCGTATCAGTAACATGATGCCATTATTATATTATAATTGATTATTGTATAATTGTCTATTGATGCTAACAGTCACTTTATACTCTAAAGGTTAAGTACTATTGATTTATAATGTTCTGTATTAGTAAATTGTTGGTAATTGAGCTAGCATCGATTACTGTCATTTTAATGGGGTAATTGTTATTTATTGGACTGAACAATACCAGAGGCGTTTCAGATCTCAAATTCAAGGCACTAAAGGCCACAAAATGCTGTATCAGTCAAAGCACAGCACTGGGACTCAAGCACACTTTACACAGAATTTTTTACAGTGAATCATTTGTCCGTACTGGGACATCCCTCTTCTGCACCTTAAAAAAAAGAAAGAAAGAATTTGCTTGTTGTAATTTAAGTATTTCAATATGTAGACCTATAAATAGGCCTAACTAAAGTTGTTACTCATACTGAGCGTTAGCTTACATGATATTAATATTCATTTTTATGTTTTGACCATCTTTTGAAATCATATTTGGATCTTTAGACTTAGGTTTAGCTTTTAGATTGCATTAATCACAGTACACAAGGATGGCTGAGTGGTTAAGGCATTGGACTTAAGATCCAATGGACAAATGTTCACAGGGGTTCGAATCCCACTCCTAGTAAGATTGGTTATTTAAGAAACCTGAAAGAAAGACATCCATGTGTGTTTTAAATGCATAAAGTATTGTCGTAACAATAAATCTAATACGGCGTGTTGGTAACATTCATAACAGCAGATGTTCCTTTATTTCCAGGCTAACTCTAACTGGTGGCAAAATGCTCAACACAACACTTGAAGATTTTAAAGAATTTTATTGATCAAAAAAACGTATATCTTTCCTTTTTTGGCAAATACAGAAAAGACAGAATAGTATTATAATCAAATAAAAAATAAAGCATCAAAATGTTGATAGAATGTTTTTACTTGAAGCTTTGATGTGCAGCTGTTTTTTTTTTTATTAGTATGCAACAATAACAAAAACAAGACAATAAACAATAATGAGGGTTACAAAACAAAACCAAAGATAATATTAAACTAGCTTAAATGTTTTACACCATAACAGAGTCTTACATTCAGTCTAGAGTTTTTAGAGTTCCTCAAGGAGTTTAGATGCACTTTCTTGAAAATAAAAAAGTTTTCTTTGAAAATGTACATTTGTGAATATAAAATGTGACAAGAAAAGGTAGTAAATTAAGTACAAATTTAAAATAAGAAAGGTTTCATTTCAGAGAGTCACCAAAAAAATTTTTTTTGGCTTATACAGAAGTTTGAAGATACCTTTTAACAAGTTTGAAAAGTCAACCTTATTTGCAATACACACAGTCCCAAAACAAATGATTAATTGTGTCTTCAAACTGATGACAAAAGGAGCACATGGGGAAAATATTTTTATTCAATTTAGCAAGTTTATATTTAACTGGGTAGCCATTACTAATGATTTTTAATAGAGACTTCAAAAACTTTATTAGATAAAACAAATTCTCAGAAGAAGCAAGACATCTTGCCATATTATATCATTAAATGTGTTCTTCCATAAGCTTACACAAGCAGGTAAAGAAATCTGAGCTCTGTTAAGAATGGAGCGAATATTTTTGTTTGACAAGCTGCTGAAAGGACGTCGATCAACAAATAGATGAGTGCTGTCAATAATAGGAGGAGAGCATAAAGGACCTTAGGGCCAGGTTTGACTAATGGTTTGACACGATCCGGAATTGCACCAAAAACAATGTCTTACTCTCTTGGAGGGACTGTGAAAGAGAATTCTGCCATAAAGTGTTCATAAGAGAGCAAGCATCATCTAAAAGTTGACTCACTAAAAGTATGTTTTGATCAAACCAATTATTAAAAATAAGAGATTTATTTTTCTGTCTATTATTTTGGTTGTTTCAGATAAAATAGCTAGGCTATGTGGAGAAAAATTATAATTAGCTATATATTAGGGACCAGTATTAAAGCCTGTTTGTGAAAACTAGAAACAGTTAAGGGTATTTTAGAGATGTCTTGCAGCGCAAAAAAAAAGAAAGAAAACATCCAACTGAACTGAAAATATGACGTGATAATATTATAAGATAATACTTTAATATTTATGGGTTTGCAACAGAGATAGGCTACCTTGCAACA